ACTGAACTGTAGAGGCGGATGAGCGGCATCAGCAGTGTGTGATGCCATTCACCAGCTCTGAAGGGTGCTATATAATCATAATAAACACGATAGGAAGATGAAATATCCCTTTGAATAAAGCTCATAACTAAGAAACAGCAGAGGATGGGGAAACGGAACAACGGCAAAACAGTGTGGATTATGAAAAGATGTTAGTCCGCCTGCTGGGCATCGTCATCAATTCAGTCATGTCGTAAGCCGTCCACAAGACCCAGCCATGTCGTAGGCCGTCCGCACGACCCGGTCATGTCATGAGACGGCCATACGACCCAGGCATATCGTGAGACGCCCACACGACCCAGGCATATCGTGAGACGCCCACACGACCCAGGCATGTCGTGAGACGCCCACACGACCCAGGCATGTCGTGAGACGTCCACACGACCCAGGCATGTCCTGAGACGCCCACACGACCCAGGCATGTCGTGATACGCCTACGCGACCCAGCCATGTCGTAAGTCGTCCACACGACCCGGTCATGTCATGACACGGCCATACGACCCAGGCATGTCGTGAGACGCCCACACGACCCAGGCATGTCGTGAGACGCCCACACGACCCAGTCATGTCCTGAGACGTCCACACGACCCAGTCATGTCGTGAGACGCCCACACGACCCAGGCATGTCGTGAGACGCCCACACGACCCAGGCATGCCGTGAGACGGCCATACGACGCAGCTTGGGATGGTTTCTGGTGCTCATTTCGAAGCTGGCAACAGAAACCGCATTTTCATGAACTTCTCAAGCGTCAGAATAAGTCACTGACATACAACAACCCGGGTCAAGATTTTGTTTATAGGAGCATACTGCCTAGCAAAATCTTTGACGCTTATTCAAATGCAAAACTCAAAGCAGTCCTGTATGATTTTGGTCACCATGACCTTTGAAAGGTCAACCAAGGTCACTGACCTTAAATAAGAATCAGTGGTCTTTTGCTTAGAACAAATATCTAGGTTCTGGGAGCGCTTTGGACACAAGCCTGGAGTTTGACCTTCTCTGGCCTTATTTGATCCGAAGGTCATGACCTAGGAACGCAAAACTTTGACGCAAAAGAGTGTGAGTACAGGCAAACACAATTTGCGAATTTGATGTCTCTAGCTCTCTTAGTTTCTGATATCTAGGGAGGGGGTCAAATTGAACATTCCCCACCCGAGCGCAGGATATTCAACGAGCTACCAGGGCTCGTGTTGGGCCAGGCGGCTTGATGTACATGTGCCACCGGATATACGATAGCAAGCACATCTGTTTTCAAATTTGGATTCGATGCACTAAACTGGCGGGAAATTATGGCCGAGCGGATTAACGCTTTGGACTCTTACGTAGCGGAGGTGGAATTTCGGTTGCATGATCATTGAACGCTAAGTATGGTCTATGCAGACGCTGACAGTCCACAACACGACATGGCAGCGTGTATTCCATTCCTTTTTTAATGAGCATTTTTCTGACGAAGTAATGCGTGACCGTGTCCTTACCTCTAATCGCCTGGACGCTGTAGGGTGACCTGTAGAGATATGGTTACGAATGGTGCAATACCTAGCCGCATGGCGAGTGCGAAGCAGCTTTCAGGTTTATTTTCCATGCAATAATGACGATGAAACGCGTGAGCATGTTTCTGGTGTATGGCTATAGATACGTCGTCGAGACGTCGATAGTTGTATGTAAATCTTTGCCCATCCATTGTCTGCTGCCGCCCTTGCTCCTCGATTATTTCAACTCAATAAACGGACATTGACATATGTAGGTTCGCATGAAGAAGGCTTTCCAGTAGAAGATCTTCCGTGTGTAAGTCTTCCGGGCGCATATATTCCCGGATGTTTCCAGAGGATGTCATGCAGTAAGCTATCTCGGAGTACATCTGTGGGGTTGATCTTGATATTTTGACTCGATGGATGCTCGTAGTGTCTGGCGCACGAGCATGTGAAGTTACTGTATTCATACTGTCTGTATTCTACTATTGATATATATGAATACTACCTGTATTCACACTGTCAATGGATGTGACCAACCAACTTGTGACGTCATAAGCTACAAGGAAGGGTTCGCCATCGCCTTGGGTTGGCCGGTAAGCTCGGGGCTTGACGATTTCCGTCTCTACACGGCCTTGGTTGACGCACTATTCGACCTTCTGGAGTGGGGGTGCAGGGTCGGGTTCTCTGTCGGTATTTTTGAGTGGCGAGCAGCGACGGGGCTTTCAACCTCGTCCGGCTAGGTATGCATGCCATGATTGTATTTAGTGCCCCAGTGGATGCTGTCCTTTGGTTGGAAATGTTGGTTGGCTGACCTGGTCACTGGGGCAGGTTACACAATAGATCGCAAAAGACGTCTGCTGCGTGTCGCGGGATATGCTACTGCCGCTTTTGTGTCTGATTTTGTAAACCATAGTAGAAGACACGGATCTTTCGTGCTTTGCCCAGCATTTATCACAACTGGGCAGACTGCCATGTGACATTTTATACTTGATTTCAATGCATCCAGCTGGTCATTGGCTTTACTTTTGTTGCTGACCATGGTTTGGAGGCAAACAATGGTAGGAATAAAACTGAAATCTGCGCCCATTCAAATGTGGTTTGATGGCCAGCATTGCTGAAGTGAAACATGCCTAACGCAAGCACTAATAATATATGCATTCTCGTAACTAACCCCCACCCTATCCCCTTCAACCCAGTGTCCCATTGGCATCCATGTTCCATGCCATATATATGTACTGTATTAAGAAGTTTTGTTTAGCCGCCATATTCTAATTTTGCTTTTCATTCCCATGCAAAAACATCATATTTCCCCACCATGTTGATCAATCTACAAACAATAAGGAAGACTGCTTGGATATGCAAGAAACACATTTTATTGAATTCTTGTTACCTTGAACTCATGCATTTTTATAGTTCTTGATGCGCAGTAATGTTGTGATCATGCACAGTAATGTTGATCATGTGTAGGAATGGCGCCGGGGTCATGGTTGCTGCGCGTTTGCGCTCAGGATGTTTCGCTATCGTAGTTATTTAAGTTCCAAGGTACGAGCTTAAATGACCTTATTTACGATTAATTGCGATGTGTTCTGCCTCAAAAACGACGATTGATATACAATGCTCTTTCTTAACATGAGGTACCATTATATACCCTGACTGGTACATCTGAATTCATGATAATTTTCCTTTCAGGTTCAGCAGTTATTAAAGAGCAATGGCACTAAGGGTAAGTTGGGTGTTGTCTGGCTGGTGTGGGTGCTGCTTATGTAATGAATGTTAGGTGCAAAGTAAAATTGTACAACATGTGTCCCCCAGTCCAGTGAAGTTGAAAAGAAATGAAAATAGCTAAAGGTCATCTATAATGTATATCTTAAAGTTTATTTTGCATGCATGCCCTTGTGATCTTATTTTTCCTAAATTATGCCCTCAGATTGCTGCCAAAAAATGTAGTGTAAAATGTAGTGTAAAATGTAGTGTAAAATGTAGTGTAAAATGTAGTGTGCACTCAGCATCGTGCTGTGCTGTTACTTCATGTATTATATATATATAAGCTCCAAAAATTTATGATCTATTTTAGGCTTTGTATCACTTGTAAGTCAGAGTGCATGATGAGCAGTCATTTTGCTGAATTATTGCTGTAGCACCTTTCTGTCAATACATTTTGGGAGCCCTGAGGCACACATTTGTTGCATCATTGTCATTTAGCTTTGTCAGCATTTTTAGAGGCAAGGACATGATGTATTTGGACACAAAACTTGTAAGGGGTCTCTATCAGTTGTCACTGGTAATCCTGCTAGTTCTCAGGGGGCTGTCACAAAAGCAATTTGAATCTGGACCAACATGTAGAATTCAGTCACAACTCATTGGGGGCGTTGCAGAAAGAGTTGTGTGAAATAATAGGGGTATTTTGTTTGTATTGTTATACATGCTTAATTACATCCCATCTTGCTGACAGACACATGGATATTGCTGATGTTGCCTTAAGCATGGGTCTGTCTCAGTCAGGCAGCCATTTTTATGAAAGCCTTCCAGATGTAGTGGTGCCCTGGCAGTGACTGGTGTGACATCTCCTGCACACATGCAACATCATCACCTCCCTATCCTTGTCATGTGACTCCCCTAGTTGGTCCATTACACGCTGCACCGCGTGTTTGCTGCTTGCGCTGCCTCCCCCGCCCCCCCCCCCCCCCCCTCATCCCCCCGGACTGCACCTCTGACCTCTGGTGTGACCTGCCGACAGCTGCTGAGCCCCGGCCGACGGACGGCCTTGCTGTACGGCCGCACCCTGCGCCAGATCAGCGCCAGCCTGCGCGCCCTCTCCACCAAGGACGACATCGGCCATGACGGAGAGATCGTGGTTGAAGGTGACGCCCGCCTCCATGGCTCGTACCCCCCCCCCCTCCCCCCCCCCCCCTGGTGAACGATAATGGTGATCCGGGTTGGCAGCGTGCTCCGCAATGGTGCTCTAGCCAGGCCGTGTCGAAGGCGGCGGTGCTGACGTGCTGCGTAACACTGGTGTCTGCTTTCAACCTCGTGGAAATGGTTTTCTTGCTGGTATGATGCCTGCCATTGCATCGTTCTTCTACAGCTGACGCTCTATCGGCTTCCCGCATATCAATGTGCCGTCACAAAGCCGCTACATTGGACGCCTGACCATGCGCCAGCGTTCGTAACCCGACGATCCTCTTTCGAGTGCCCCCCCCCCCCCCCCTCCCCCGTCCGGCCGGCCCAGTCCCGCAGCTCCTCTCGCTGTCCGCGCGGTCGACCGGCGCGCGACCCGTCTGACTCTGTGCGCGGCGTGCGACAGTGCGCCAGCTGCGGCCGTCGCCTGCCAGCGACCTGCTGGGCGACACGGACCGGCGCCTGCCGCTGCCCGGCGCCGTCGGCCTGGCCGAAGAGCTGAGCCCGTCGCTGCCGCCGCCGCCACCGCCACCCCGGCCCACGCCGCAGCCGCGCCGCGCGCGCAACGAGGCGGCCGCCGAGCTGTATCGGGATCGACACATGGCGGTCAGTGGCGGGGCGACCCGCCGGCCACGCGCGGTTCGCTGGGGGCGGCGCCGCCGGCTCAGGCTGCGAGGGGGGCGCTGGGGCGGGAGCGGGTGTCGAGCGTACGGCAGTGGATGTCTTCCCTGTATGTACCCGCCGCGCACATGGAGCTGCTGTCTGCTCTTGAGCCCTGCTTGTGCTGTGCGAGTGTTTCCTGACGTAGATCTTTCTCTGGGCTACGATCCCGCTAGTCACGCCTGCTACCGGGCATGGTTAAACTCAAATGGTTGCTGCTTTAAAGTGTTAACTGTGGACTGTGAACAAATGGGCCAGTTTCCGTGTTTTTACCTTGTTTCTACGCTGTGCATTGCTTTGTAAGTGGCTGTAATTCGAGATCGCGCATGATGTAAGATGTTTTCTCGCTTCCCTCGCTGGCTCCTTGACATGTGCATTATTGTTTCGTTAGTGAAAAGCCGAAATTTGTGGATTGAATGGCGAACAATCGTGTCATCTTATGTGCGTACGCCGGGCTTCCTCGCGCCGGTCGTGTGTGCTTTCACGCCCTCATAAGGTCCCGTTGCCGACCTGAGCACCCGCCGTAGACCTCGGTGGGGGTGTTACCGTGCCGTGATCCGCAGCTGCTCCGCCCTTCACGCCAACTTGACCCAATACCGTCCGTTATCATCACGTGAACCATCGTTAAACTGCATCGTCCTGTTTTGTCTTGTTCTTGCTGTTGTCCGGTTTAGTCGTTGTCCCGTTGGGGTATTGTTCTGTATGGACAGGATGGCCCCGTTGCAGCCAAGCTCCAAGACCGACGCCTGCTTGTCCACCGGGCCGAAGACCTGTGTGTGTTGGCGCCGGCGCGGCGCGGCTCGCTGCTATGCGTCTGACCCGTCTGACTCACCTCCGGCGGCAGGTGCTGGCCTCGTACCTGAGCTGGCAGGGCGGCCGGCCAGCCGAGCCGGGCCCGCCGCCGCCGCCCGCCGCCGTCCTACTAGAGGTGCAGGCACACGACTGCCCCCAGCTGCTCAAGCAGGGTGAGCAGCACAGGCGACCGGGCCGGCGTCGGCGTCGGGGTCGCTAGAGGCACGCGACGGGTGGACAATTCTGTCTGATGGCGTCGCGGTTAGATGTTGTTCAGGCTGTCCAGTACGTCTATGATGGTGTCGCGGTCGGATGTCGTTCAGGCTGTTCAGTACGTCTAGGCGGGAACAGCACTCTTGCATTGCTAATTATTGGCTTAGTGCACCACTATGTGAGCTGTTAGCCACTGTGCAGTAATTTTTTTCAGTCCGGTGCTAGTTTTCTACAGCTTGCAAAGGAGCTAAGCGACCATTGCTCCCTGCGTGTGGCGCAGTCGTGTCGTGCCGCCGTGCCCATGGGCTGCTCCTTTCCCGCCCAAGTAGCCCGCCGACCGGCGCGTGGCCGACGGCCCGCTGCGCGGCCGGTGTGGCGTGACTTGCGCCGCCGCGCGCCGTCAGAGTTCGGGCCGCTCTTCGCCGAGCGCGACATCACGGCCGGCCGGCTGACTGTGCTGGTGGTCAGCCAGCGCACCGACGCCGACATGGCCGCCTGGTCCGAACAGGCCGAGGCCGAGCGCGACGAGCTGGCCGCGCAGGTGAGGCCGCTGCCGGCCCGGAGGGACGCTGCGGGCGGCCGACTGCGACTACTGACGCCGGCGCTGTCGGGCAGGGGCCGGGTCGCGGAGTGGTGCACGCGGTGTTCAGTGGTGCCTTAGTCTTGCGGTGTGTATGGTGTGCTCGGTGTGCTTGGCTTTTCGCCGGCTGTTCATATACTATTGTTATTGGGGGATCATTATTTTGGTGAAAACGGCATTGATTAAAGCAAGAGACCGCGCACGCGTGCAGTCTGCTTGGCGCAGGACGCTGGTGCCGATATTGAGATATCTTTGAACTGGGACGGCGAGGCGCCAGCGGTCAATCTGCGAGACCCATGACGACACATGCTTCAGCCAGTGTGAATGCAACCCCTACCAGTTGATGGCCCCTACGTTGACCTGAGCCGGTCTTCCCGCGTGCGCCGCCGCCGCCGCCAGTTCGTGACCGTCGGCGAGGACATGGCGCTGGGCCTGCGTCGGCTGGGCTTCTGGGCAGACCTGGTGGACCCGCGCTCGGGGCGGCCCCACCTGGGCGCCCCGGCCGCCGCCGCCGTCGCCGACTACGACGACGACGACGCGGACCGGCTCGTAGAGACCGACGAGCGGCTCGGGCGGCTCGGCTTCACCATCGAAGACCTGGGCTGCTGCAAGGTCATCCGACATGCCGTTTGGGGCAGCCACGTGTTCGTCGGTGAGAGGCGGGCGGGGGCGCCGGCGCTCGGCGGTCCACCCGGGCTGGGACGCGCGGCACGCCCGGGTCACGGGATGGCTATCGCTGGCGAGGGTGGGCATTGTTGGCATGTCGTGGTCGGGCTTTTGCAGCCTTCCTGGGAATCAGTAGGGATGGTTGTTGTAGGCTTATGTAACTGGAGATACCAGTAAGACACGTTCTTGAACAGCTATGAGTGGATGCCTGATTGTGAGACGGTTAACAAATATTTGCTGATTATCCATGTGTTTGCTGAGGCCGTTCGAAAATTGGTTGTGCGCTTTTGAAATGCTGAAATGACACTGTTACTTGATAGACCCTGGCAGTCCACTTCATGTGGTTATCTGACATCTCTGGCTTGTGGCACGTTTTACACTCAGCTACACATCCAACCTGCATATTCAAACGTCACCACCAGCGTGTCGATGCACGTGACCTCGCGGCGCCCTCCCGGCGCCTGCTGCCTGATGACGATCGTCCCTTGTCGCCAGGCTGCCTGTTCACGGACGCGGCCGTGGACGACCCCCGCCTGGGTGGAGTGATAGCTCAGTACCAGGAGGCGGCGCCGCCCTGCTAGTGGCCGGCTGGGCCGGGAGCTCCTCATGAGTCTGCTGCGAGTTGAGCGACGCTGCGACGCGCCGGCGCCGGCGCCGGCCGCCGCGCCGCCGCCGGGCGCGCTCCCGCGCCGTGTAGTTCCGTCTTTCGCCGCCGGACGGCGACACGTGCGGCTTGTCGGGGGAGCGGCTGCGGCCGCGCGTGCTGAGGTCGGCGGCCGGCCTGGCACTGGAGGTCGTGTCGGCGGATGGCTGGACGGAAGCCATCGTCGTCGGGACCACGGCTAGCGCGGTTTGAGCCTCGGCTTCTGCCGTCTCAGCGGCGCGGATACTTTTTGAGTGTGGGCTTTGACTATCGGGGCTTCGGGTCCGACCGTCTGGCAACGGCTCCGCCTGGCTCCGGTCCAGGTCGTAGGTCGCAGGTGCCGGTGTCGTCACTGCCATATCGGGCGGAGCAGGGCCGCCTGTACCGCCCGCCCGCCCGGCCCCGGCCACCGTCCCGAGACGCGCGGCCCCTCCCCTGGCCGGCCGGCGGCCGCGTGTAGTCGCGGCAAGCGTTCGTCCTGGCCCCGGCCGCCCGGCCCCGGCCGCCATCCTGAGACGCGCGGCCCCTTCCCTGGCAGGCCGGCGGCCCCGTGCAGTCGCCGCAAGTGTTTCATCCGGTGGGCAGCCGGATGCGCGGATCGATGTGCCGATGTGAGGTGTCTGGGCGCTGTCTGTAAAGCCGGCAGGCGGGAGTCAGATGGAGAGCTAGTCCGGCAAGTGGGTGCGCGCACCGGCTGCAGGTGTCCCAGGAGCGCGCGTGAAGCGTGTGGGCGTGTGGTAGAACTAGCTGCATGAGTTATCGCCGTTAGATGGATAATTTAGATGTGTTTCTGGACGGCCGGTGGTGGTATTTTGAATCGGTGATAACTGGCCATCACAGACCTACCACGGTAAGACATGGTATCTGATGCGTTGTTCATGCAGAGCGCTTTGTGTGGTTTAGAATGGGACTAGGTGTGATCTTGCCGTTATACCTGAATACTGTTCGCCACTCAGTGGCCAGTTGTTTTGTTCCGTTGCTCGAACTACCCCCAAATAAATAATCCCCACCAGCCGCCTATCGTATGACACGCCAGAGGTCACCCAGAATGAGTTCTCACAGCACGGCGTCCTGTGCTAACAGGGAGCCTGGTGCGTTTCGTTTCCCACATGAGCGGGGCTGTGCTCTGAACTCGACTCAATGCGAAGCTGGCTCAATCATACAACGTGTGGAGCAGTCGGACCTCCCGTGGAACATAATCCCAGTGGAGCTCGAGGTGGTTTGGGTCATTCTAGCGCTGCTCCCTGCTCCTCTCGCGAGGCTGCAGCATGCTTGCCGCTGTCGTTGACAGCACACACTGGTTTCGAGCAGGGCGCAGGCTGAGCCGGCAACATGACCCAGGCTGAGCTTATGCCACCGGTGCGAGGGGCGGCGTGCGTTTGTTGGCGTTGACGCCCGGACGGCTTGGCGCCCTGTCGCCGCCGTCTGCAGGCTGCATTACAGGTCCGCGAGCAGGCGAGGTAACACTCGGCGCGTCACCACATGCCCTCGAGTTCGCGAGACTATTCAGCACGTCGCCACATGCCCTCGCGTTCATAAGACTGCACGTCACTGCGCGAACGCGGCGCGGTGCAGGTGGTAGTGACTTGCGCTCACGGATGTCGATATGCATTTTTTGGGTGGGCTTCTGCCCCCCGCCCTCCCAAATATCCAAGCTGCCCCGCCCCCAACAACGATGAGTTTACCCCTCCCCAAATTTGCAATTTACCCGGCGCCTAACAACGGTGAGTTTGGGCGCCCCCCGCCTCCCATAGCCGAAATGCTAGCAGGACATAAAAATGGAAGCTCAAAATTACATCAATTGTAAAAAAACGTTTCTCTGATTGGTTTCACAGGTAAGAGGAACAAAGGGCACCGCACTGCCCAACAAGGGTCCTGTATTTGCAAGGGGCCCAGATTCGGCGTGGGCGGCGTTCAAGACGCCCGCAGGGGGCCCGAAGGGCCTCTCGTGACCGAGATCAAATGCTTGATTTGAGGACACGGGGGGCTGTCTGTGGGTCACATGAAGGGCCCTACCGCCCGGAATGGGCCCTCAAATGTCAGTCAGACGGCTTCTTGCATCGAATGAGGACCCCTGAAACATTCAGGGCCTCTAGTTCGATCGGAGATCACTTACACCGAACTGCCCGTTCCGTGTCGGTCTGAACCCTGGGAGCCAACTTCCCAAGCAGGGACGAGACCCGCACGCGATTAGCATTGGTCGGGAGTTTGGGGCCCCTGAATCAGTGAGAGATAATTTGACGATCAGGGGCCCAGAGAGCCTAACAGGTGGTTCTGTGTCGGCAAGAAGCGCTGAGTTGGCCAGGAGAACGTTTGCTGAACAGGGATAGGGACGGGACACCGAATGCCAGAGGGCCTCTTACATTGATCGGGGCCCTCTGACAATGAATGGATATATGATAACTGATGATGAGGGTACCTAAAGAGACAATGGAAAGACCCTGTGTTAGTCACGACCCCAGTACCAAACCGGGTCGTCCATCCCATTCCAGCCAAGGGCCGTCGAACTGGGGTCTCTGTGCCAGTTGTTGCGCAGCGCATGTAATGGCACAAGCGGCAAGCGGCGCAGCGCCGCCCCCCCCCCCCCCCCCCAAGGATCTGCACTGAGGAGATCACGCCGATGATGATGCTGTCACCGCCCCAGACTTCGGAGCTATTTGACTTGATTTGATGAAGCTCTTGCCCATCCCAACACAACGTCCGGCCTTATCCAGTACTTCCATCAACAAGTACTTGTAAATGCTGAATGTTTTTATCCTGCGTAGTATAATCCTTCCATGTTATACGTTTTATCATTAAGTATGACAAAGGTGGGTGAGGATGGAATAATATTTTGGGATGATGATGGTGAAGATTAAGAGTTTTTAGGCCGCGTCGAGTGCAAATGATCATACAGCGCCCATGAGTGAAGCAAGGGCGGCAGCTTACACAGGTATGGAATGTGACAGATATAGTGTTGTGTTGAAAACCATTTTCGTCTCGTCAGACACAACATACGAAGCTGGACCGACCGAAGGGTAAAGTTTAAGGTTGGGGGGTGAACAAGCGAAGTGAAGGCAGCGTGAGTGATACAATCGTGGACACAACAAGGCCTTAGTGAACGTGAATTGTTACGACCTTCGTTTCAATGACGTTCATTTGTTCGCGATCCTCTCCCGCAACAACCGAGTCTTGCTACACGTGAGAAATTCGTCTTGTTCCACTGCCCATCATCGCAACGTTGGTAAGCACGCATAAATTATAGTGTGCAATCTGCCAGAAAATATCAAAACACGTGCCACATCAGCAAAGGTTTCTGCCGTTGTTTCTGCTGTGATCTCATGTGAGCATCCATCAACTGACCGATCAGCTGATCAATAACTCCGCTTTGTCTCGCAGTGGCTGGAGCAACCAGCTGCGACAGATGGCACGGTCGGTTTGTGTAGCCGAGGTTTTGTACAGTTGCGTCGTGTATTTAGTTGCGCACGGTTTGCTGGGAGGCGGCTTAAGAGTGGACTAACAGCACAGATTGAGTTCCACTCTTCTGACGTCTCAAAATTAACCACTTGATTGCATGAACTAAATGTATGTATATTCATTGATTACCCCATGTGGGTTACACATCCACACCCCATAAATGCTGCCTTCTGATCTTCGTTTGCCCACCACCAGTCCCTCTTGGCCGGATGCTAACGGCAGCCGCCAGCGACGGGCCGGGTCCCGGTCACGTCTCCGCCAGATCGGCCGCCCGGCTGCGTCGGGTGCCGCGCGGAGCAGGCCACCGCCGCCGTACTCACCCAGTCGGTGGCCTCGAACATCTTGACATCGAGCGGGTCCCCGATCAGCTGGCCGGCCAGCCGCGTGAGGCCGTGGCAGGCGGCGAGCGCCACCTTCAGCTCGCTGCGGTCGCTGAGGGCCGGCACATGCCGCTCGGGCGGCGTGAAGCCGGCCGGAGAGCACGGCACCACGCCCCACATGCTCAGGCCGTCCTCTGTCAGCGTGCCCGTCTGCGAGGGAGGGGCGGGGGGGGGCGGATGATCAGAGTTCAGCCTCTGGCGCCGTAACAGCGCGCGTTTGGACACGACAGACTGCGCTTTGCCCCCTTTCCTGGCGAGGGCGAGGGCCACTCCGCGGTTAGCTGTGATCTCCTATGCCTGGTACGCATCCGGTGAAATTGGGACCGCTTTATAGAGAGTATGGGAACCTTTCTTCACAGCCACTCCGCAATCTATCGATGAATGTGTGCAAATTGTGTGCAATGTGTGTGTGCATTGTGAATGTGCATGAATGTGTGCAAAATTATCGTATTGACCCACTTTGACTTTGAGGCAAGATTTGGCTCGTTATATTTCAAGATTTGTCTTCTACTGAAACAGAAGCCAAAACCCATCGAAAGATGCTTTTCTGCTTATATCTTGAGGGTCGATGAACTGAAGGAATCAAGCATCTGATGATTACATAGAGCAAACCGACGGCACTTGTCATGATGCAACGGTGCAGTAAGCATTTTAGCTGCGTCGATTTTTTTCTGATTTGTGCAGAGCTTTGTGGACGTAAGTGATGGTAAATGTAGCTTGTATGTTGAAATGGAATAGTACATTTGTGTCGTCATCGTCAACCCATGCTCGACTAGGAATGTTCAACCTCTGAGAATATCGAAAATCTAAAAAAAAATAGCATGATAGTTTTGACCATGAACGCTCGCAAATCTTGGAATAAACATCTCGAAGCCCGGCGTTGCAGTCTCCGTAGGCCGTGCTTTGTTGGACTGCGGTTAATACGGGATGCCAGTCACCGAGCGGACAAATACGATATCGTTTTTGAAAGAAGTACCTTTAAGCGACAAGGATTTCTATCTGTATACTTTGAAGGTAACCCAATAGCATGTTTCGCCCGTGCCAACCCAATACCATGTTTCACCTGTGCCTTTCATTTTAGATTCACAAGAGAAGCAAATTAGCGGAAAGGAATGGATTAGTGCAGTACCGTGAACCGGTGCTGGATTCTTGCTGGAACTAGACAAGTAAAGATAGAACCTCTATTTTCGTACTTTTGTTGCTTTTGAGAGGACAATACCAAAATTGTGCGGTTAAATTACAAGTCCAGCTTAATTTTTGCACGGTTCCGAATGAGTTTGAAACAAAAAATTCGGGAGCATTATTTTGTTCCCCTCGCCGGGCATCCGTTGTACGGTATTAAATGGAATGTTTCACATTTAATGGCATTGAAGCAAGCATCAGATATCATGAAACGAGCTTCCCATATAACTATTGGTATGCTTTTAAGTAAAACAGACTGCAATAGACAACACGATTTTTCTGCTTAGAAAATATGCTCCTGGATGCGTCATTGTTTGATCATGTCATCGCACCCAGTACAACATTGACTGAGAGCTAGTGGACGGCTAGTGGACGGAGTAGTGGACGAGAGCTAGTGATATCTAGAAATCCTGCTCATAAACGCCACTAATGAACGACTCGACCATCACATTTTTTCTTGGCTTTGATCGCCACATGGCTAATGGAACGGCCGAATTTGAATGACGTTATTATGCCGCCATGAGTGCCAAGGTGACTGGAACACCCCTCCAAAGTTACTCGCCCACATGTTTGCGGCCTTTAAGCTCAGGAACCAACGAAGTTTAGGTCTTAAAAGACAGGGCCGTAAACTGCATCGAAAGGCTTTCAATATGGCTTTTCAGTTTAAAACCCCACACAAATGTGGAACTCGCCCTTAAGCTGCGGCCGCTGACGGCACCTGAGTTCATGGACACTGCGAACTCCGGCCATCGGTGTCTATGTTCCTAAAATTGCGAGCGCGCGGGCTGAAAACTTTTTATTGGCACTGCGCAAACCCCTTACCTTTTCCGGAGCAGAGGCCCAGGAGGTAAAACGCTGGGTGCATATTCTTTTTCCGTTCAGGGACTAAGGAGCCGTTCCGTTACAGCGCGGGGTGCCTGCCGGCCTGTGACGCCGGCGGTAAAGGGGCGATGTTCCCTGGTCGATATGGAAGCCTTTAGGGGGGCCAATCATACATCAGTCGTCTGCCTGACGCCGGAGGCCCCCTGAACTCAAGGTGTTTGGCCCCGTATCGGCGTAAAAGCCCTTATTGACGCAACAAGACACCTCATCGCCACAGGTGGTCAAACAACTGGCACAGAGACCCCAGCTCGACGGTCCTTGGCTGAAATGGGATTGACGACCCGGTTTGGTACTGGGGTCGTGACTATCACAGGGTCTTTACATTGTCTCTTTAGGAACCCTCATCATAAGTTATCATATATCCCTTCATTGTCAGAGGGCCCCGATCAATGTAAGAGGCCCTCCGGCATTCGGTGTCCCGTCCCTATCCCTGTTCAGCACACGTTCTCCTGGCCAACTCAGCGCTCCTTGCCGACACAGAACCCCCTGTTAGGCACTGTGGGCCCCTGATCGTCAAATTAACTCTCACTGATTCAGGGGCCCCAAACTCCCGACCAATGCTAATCGCGTGCGGGTTTCGTCCCTGCCTGGGAAGTTGGCTCTCAAGGTTCAGACCGACACGGAGCGGGCAGTTCGGTGTAAGTGATCTCCGATCGAACTAGAGGCCCTGAATGTTTCAGGGGTCCTCAATCGGTGCAATAAACCGTCTGACTGACATTTGAGGGCCCATTCCGGGCGGTAGGGCCCTTCACGTGACCCACAGACAGCCCCCCGTGTCCTCAAATCAAGCATTTGATCTCGGTCACGAGAGGCCCTCCGGGCCCTCTGCGGGCGTCTCGAACACGGCCCACGCCGAATCTGCGTTCCTTGCAAATGCAGGTCCCTCGCTGGGCAGTGCGTCGCCCTTTGTTCCTCTTACCTGTGAAACCAATCAGAGAAACTGTTCTGCTACCACTTCGGTTCTGGGAGGTAGGGGGGGGGGGGGGGGGTGGCGGGGGCAGCCCTAACTCACCGTTGTTGGGCGTGGAGTAAACTGGAAATGTGGGGGAGGGGTAAGCTCATCGTTGTTGGGGGCGGGGCAAATTGGATATTTGGGAGGGCGGGGGGCAGAAGCCCACCCAAAAAATGCATATCGACATCCGTGAGCGCAAGTCACTACCACCTGCACCGCGCCGCGTTCGCGCAGTGACGTGCAGTCTTATGAACGCGAGGGCATGTGGCGACGTGCTGAATAGTCTCGCGAACTCGAGGGCATGTGGTGACGCGCCGAGTGCTACCTCGCCTGCCCGCGGACCTGAAGTGCAGCCTGCAGACGGCGGCGACAGGGCGCCAAGCCGTCCGGGCGTCAACGCCAGCAAACGCACGACCGCCCCTCGCGCCAGTGGCATAAGCTCAGCCTGGGTCATGTTGCCGGCTCAGCCTGCGCCCTGCTCGAAACCCATGTGTGCTGTCAACGACAGCAGCAAGCATGATGCAGCCTCGTGGCAGGAGCAGGGAGCAGCGCTAGACTGACCCAAACCACCTCGAGCTCCACTGGGATTATATTACACGGGAGGTCCGACTGCCCCACACGTTGTATGATTGAGCCAGCTTCGCATCGAGTCGGGCTCAGAGCATAGCCCTGCTCATGTGGGAAACGAAACGCACCAGGCTCTCTGTCTAACGCGGGACGCCGTGCTGCGAGAACTCATTTTGGGTGACCTCTGACGTGTTATACGACAGACAGCTGGTGGGGATTATTTATTGGGGGGTAGATCGAGCAACGGAACAAAACAACTGGCCACTGCGCGGCGAACAGTATTCAGGTATAACGGCAAGATCACAGCTAGTCCCATTCTAAACCACACAAAGCGCTCTGCATGAACAACGCATCAGATACCATGTCTTACTGTGGTAGGTCTGTGATGGCCAGCTACCACCGATTTAAAATACCACCGCCGGCCGTCCAGAAACACATATAAATTATCCATCTAACGGCGATAGCTTATGCAGCTAGATCTACCACACGCCCACACGCTACACGCGCGCTCCTGGGACACCTGCAGCCGGTGTGCGCACCCACTTGCCGGACTAGCTCTCCATCTGACTCCCGCCTGCCGGCTTTACAGACAGCGCCGAGACACCTCACATCGGCACATCGATCCGCGCCTCCGGCTGCCAATCGGATGAAACACTTGGGGCGGGTGCACGGGGCCGCCGGGCGGCCGGGGCCAGGACGAACACTTGCCGCGACTGCACGCGGCCGCCGGCCGGCCAGGGGAGGGGCCGCGCGTCTCGGGACGGCGGCCGGGGCCGGGCGGGTCTCTCTCTCTCTCTCTCTCTCTCTCTCTCTCTCTCTCTCTCTCTCTCTCTCTCTCTCTCTCTCTCTCTCTCTCTCTCTCTCTCTCTCTCTCTCTCTCTCTCTCTCTCTCTCTCTCTCTCTCTCTCTCTCTCTCTCTCTCTCTCTCTCTCTCTCTCTCTCTTCGCTCACGGCGGGGCAACGGCATCCTACGCCCCACCTCAGGTGCGCCTCTGTTGACCGCACAGGACACGGCCTTGAGTCGACCGGCCTATCGTTCCCCGCTCCGCTCGCTCTACGCGCATTCCCGGCCAACACAACCGGCAGCAGCGGCGGCGGCGAATGTCAGTGTCTGTCGCGCAGCCGACGGAGGCGATGGCGCTGCCGTGGCAGCCGGAGCCGGTGCCGCGCTCCGAGGTGCCGGTGCCGCGCTGCTGTACGCGGCGCTGCCGGCGTACCGCGAGCACGGCCTGGCGCGCTTCGGACCGGACGGTGCCGTGTACAGCGCCGACGCGCTGCCCGTGCTGGAGCGCTGTCGGCGCACGCCGCTGCACGCCGACGACCTCTGGGTGTTGGCGTCGCCCAAGTGCGGTGAGTGGGGGCGGGGCGGGCTCGGGCCGGGACCGGTCCCGGGCGCAGTCGGGCCTGAGCAGCCGCCGCAGCTTGCGTCAACCACGACGTGAAGCTCTTAAGCTGTGTGTTTTCAGGGTCGCGCAAGGATCACAGCTGACGGCCGATTACAGGCGCTCAGCCTGGCACCTATGCAGGCTGGCGGCAACACGAAAACGGCGGCATTTTAGTTAGTCTGCCTACTAAAAAAACGTCCGATTTCGAGATACTTCCTTCCCACCGGGATACTTTGTCATTGTTGTCGTAAGCGCCACGGATACGTACCGTGCTAACGGGCAGAACTTCTGGAACCGACGTGGGATGCCAAGACACAGTGGAAGCCTTGGTGGTGCTCTACTCCAGCCTCCTATACCAACCGGCGCGTACCTCGTACCAGTCGCCTAGCTGAACCTCGTGCGAACCTCGCACATTGTTCGCTGGTCAAGCAATGTTCAACCACGCCATGCCTTTAAACCACTCCCGGTGGCGGCTGAGCGATTCTAGGGCAATTTATGAAAATAGCGAGCGGCAGTTCGCTGGGTGGCCAACTGCCGCTCGCTCCCACAATCAGGCCCGCGCTCCAGTTATCTCGCGCGCTCGTCTCTGATAAACGCGCCACCCTGGACGACAACAGCCGATGTAGGACAGAGCACGCCCTGTGACAACATTTCGCCGAAGCGCAGCCATTTTCCGGCCCACGCCACTGGGCCACGGACCGGTCACACAAAGCCGCGATGCTGCGTCGGCCAGACCAGGGTGTCCCGGCCGGGGCCGAGGCTAGTCGGAGCTCCCACACACAGGGCGGTGCGAGCGTTCTGCGCCGACGCGTGATGCTAACGGAGACGCCCGCGCACCCGCCTGCCGGCTGCACCCGACCGCCTCTCGCTTCCGCTGTCCGCACGCCCGCGTGGTCTCGGAGTTGCACGTGGCTGTTGCCCGTTATGCCGGACTCACCTTTCAAGTTATTGCTTTAATATTGCAACATTTCAATCAGTCGTGATTTCGAGCACAATTTTGCTCCGAACCAGAGGTGTTGCCGGGGGGGGGGGGCAAAGGCGTGCCCCCCCCCCCCGAACAGTGTCCCAATCACCGCCACCAGGCTCGCCTCAGACTAACACGAGCTGTACACTGGTATCAGTCTCGCCGCTCCCACTAATCAGCACTCTTCCTTCTCACTTCAACACTGTCGGCGCGCCCTATAACGCCAATCATCATCAAGCCCAGAAAAAGCAAAGTCTAAGGCCCATAACGATCATACCCCATCCCAAAAAGGGGTGATGATTTCTCGTGCGCCAGGGCATTTCTTCATTTTCGAGGTGGCGTTTCTCGTTCGTCGTACATAAAAGGCTCAATTTTCGTTACTCTACTTGTGTTGTGGTATTTTATGGGGCTCGTACCATCCAAAATTTACACCTATTCACGTCCAATTCTGATTGTTTTTAACTTTTTTGTAGTGTGAGACCTCTTCACAAAATGTATGCGTGACTGCGTACTGAATCCGGTACCCTATTGTGCGGTCTATTATCACCAAGCAAACATCTGGATGCCTTTGACTGAAATGGTATATTTCTTACTCAATCTGTAAAGCGTTGCGTTCGGAGTTGTTGGCTGCAAAATCTTTGGGTGAGACGTATTGCGCATGCGCGTTTCGTCGTTTTAGGCAAAAGGATTGTATGGGTTACGGTTACTCGGTATGGGTGTCTTGCCCCAAATAGAATGAAACCGCTTACGTTTATTTCAGCTGCACTAAGTCAAAACACTGTTACAGCTACACCTCTAATCCCCAAATCCGCTATCTTGGTAATTATTTGGGTTCAGGACGTAGGCAGTTCTCAATGCCTATCCAAAGAAAATGAGCATCGAGGCTGTTGTGTGCTGCTAAAATACGCACTACTGACTTCATCATCACTATAACAGTTACACAACACCATCAACCACTTCCAGAGAGTTGCTGCTACCGTCGGACTTTTACCACCCTCAACTATCTCTTTCTGGGACTAATTCAATTGTTATGGAAACGCCCCGCGATGCCTTTAAAACACTCCCCGGTGGCGGCTGAGCGATTGAACAGCAACATTTTGACGTTAAAGAAATATTGAATTTCACGCCTCGGCTTTAGTTAAATTTCTTAGCGAGACAGAGGAAGTCACCTCAAGTAGGCCGGTGGAAAATGGCCTAAATAAATTGGCCAACCGTCATGTGAACTTCACCACGACCTTGGGGCTAATTTTGATTCATTTCTTACATGCAGCATCCAACAATGTTTTTGAGAAATGTGCACGGAGTTTAACAGATTGGAGAAACGAAAATGTTAACTTAAATGTAAGCAAAGGCCACTACTACTGGAAAACAACGGCGCACATCCAGACGGGGATAAGGGCGGACTGCGGTGAGGAGTCACACATGTAGCCTTCACCATTTCCCAGGGCATGGGCGGCTTTCGAATGGACAACCTAGCAGCTGATGAGAATGCTACCATGTGAGTGAAAATAGCCGGGAATGAGCAAGAAAAGGACAACAAAGGGCATTTCCAGCACCCTCGCAGACCTGGCAACACTCCTGCTGACCAAAAAAGTGCACACTTGAGAGAAAATGTCTGAAAATGTGGTAAAGTATAATCAACCAATATGGAGTACAAAAGCAAGTCATTTCAGTAAAGCGTTGCAAAAATTTGTCGGTAATAAGCTATCTTCCTGCCCCCCCCCCCCCCCCCCTCCAAGCAGCAAAACACATCCCAGCCTAATGCAACCAGCTGCCGCGCCGGCAGGCACCCACTGGGCGGCGGAGATGGCCTGGCTGATCCAGCACGACTGCGACTTCGCCGGGGCGCAGTCGTACCTGGCGCCGGACCGGACGCACTTCCTGGATGCCGCTCGCAATAATGTCGCCCGGCTGGCGGCAGGCGGCGCAGCAGCAGGGCAGCGATGCCGTGCCGCCGGCTGCTGCAGCCGATCGACGGCAGGCCGCGCCCTCGGCTCGTGAACACCCACCTGCCGCTCAGCCTCTGCCCGCCCGGCCTGCTCGACACGTGCAAGGTACGGCCGGCCACTCCAGCAGCGCATGCACGCGACGGCCACGCCCGCGAGGCATTGGGTGAGGTACAATCGCGCGTGCAAAGTACGGCCAATCATGCCAAGTGCCTCAAGGTTTATAGTGCAAGGTGCTCGTGTGCGCCGTGCAGTCTTCGGCCTCATGTGCATGATGCGGGCGCGGTGTCTGGTCCACGTGAACAAAATGTGGACGAGTAGCCTGGTCCATGTGTGCAAGATGCAGACGAGTGGTCTCGTGCACGTGTACAAGATGTGGGCCAGCGGTCTGGTCTAAACGTGCAAGATGTGGACGAGTAGTCTGGTCCACGTGTACAAGATGTGGACGAGTAGTCTGGCCATGTAAGTAAGGCATGACCGCCGATATCGTAGAGGTTTTCACGGACAGGATTTTTGCCTTACTCGACCCGCCCGGACTGAGAGAGGCCTGGACAAGCCCGCCCATGATGCGTTCTCAGTCCGTCCAACTCATCAACCGTTCAGAGCCATTCTCCTAAGTTTTCTTTGAAGTCGCAAAAGGAAATAACATATTCTGAATGCACATGGTTTCCTAATTTCTGCTCAAGATTACGGAAGTCATCACGCGGCACGCAACTATGACCCATGTAATTGCAGTAGCTTTCAAAAATTACAACGTGCTGCCTGCAGTCTCCTTAATAACCTAGTTGCCTGTTACGCACGATCCCGGGTGCCAGGTATAATCCAGATGCCTTGTTTCACGAGGCCCGTATCCACAGCTAGTGCACCTCTAAATCGACTGATCTAAGCTCAGTTAGTTCTGAAAGGCTCGTTTTTACGTACGTATGTCAAGTATGTATTTATTTGCGCATTTTAAGTTTCACGTCAGTGACCGGTTCCAAAGGTGGTTCAGAGACCGGTTCCTCGTCTCCAAGTCCCACGGTCGTAATAGAGTCCACGCGATTTCGTGTGCGCTCCGGGAGGCCGTCACCAGGGCGGGCAAATGATCTGGTAGAGAGCAGTGCCCATTCAATATTGGAAGCATTATAGGAGGGAGCATTGCCCATTCAGTATCGGAAGTATTATGGGAGGGAGCAGTGACCATTCAGTATGGGAAGCATCATAAGAGGGAGCAGTGATCATTCGAAACCGCCTGTCATCGAGTAAATGCAGTAATGACACCCGCTGCCAGCCAGAAAGTGGGATTGACAACGGTAACACCATCCTCCGTCTTTCTCCGGGTTATCTACGTGGCGCGAAACCCGAAGGATGCGTGCGTCTCCTACTACAAGATGTTGATGTCAGACAGCACACTGAGCCCCGAGACGACCATTGAAGACTTCGTCACGCTGTACAACGAAGGAAAGATGGTCTGCTTGCCGTTCTTCCCAAACGTGCTGCAGGCGTGGCGCCAGCGGCAGCACCCCAACATGCTGTTCCTCACATTCGAGGAGATGAAGCGGGATCTGCGAGCCGTCATCGAGCGAACGGCCGAGTTCCTGGGTAAGAAACTGACGGCCGAGCAGCTGGACAGGCTGCAGCACCACCTTAGCTTCGAGAGCATGCGGAAGAACAAGTGGGTCAACAAAGAGGACAGGATCAAGGGACAAGAGGGAGCAGACGGTGAGCGTCTGTCCTTCATGAGAAAGGGTCAGACGGGCGACTGGAAGAACCATCTGAGCGACGAAACGTCGCAGGAGATGGACCGCTGGATGGAGGAAAACCTACACGGCACTGGGCTCACATTTGTTGCCGAGGCACGGCAGCAGTAGTCCGTACAGCGACCGCGCCGTTCGAAGCGGGGTTCACGGCACCACAGCGTGCCGAAATCACGTGCAAGCGGCATGTGGTGGCACAAGCGGCGCAGCGGCGCAGCGCCGCTTGTGCAAGCGGGCCAATGCGATAATTTCTTTTGTATGTGCATGTGTGTGTGTGGGGGGGGGGGGAGCTTTCAGAAGGAAGGGCCCTTTGTCAGCTGTGTCTCCCCCCCCCCCTACACACACACATTGCCAAAATTGGCTGCGCCCCCGTGTGGGCGAGCTCATTGATGAACATCGAGTATGCGTGCATAGGCAAAATCGCATGGCCACTGAAGAGCCAGCTCAGCTAACAACATTGTTAAACCAGCCTGTGTTCCACATAACATTGCGCTTACGGGACCTTCATTTGCAACACCTTCGCACAGAAGCGGGTGAGCGTCGCTTTCTCTTTAGAGGCACAATAGCTCAGAACATTGTCCGTCAGAAGTACAGCAGGCTCAAGCACGTGCTTTTTAACGAACGGGGAAAAGGTATTTTCAACACGAGGGCATCTCCCTGGGCGTATCTAGGAAAAGCTTGATAGCCCTGCTCCGAACTGGTGCGCGGAGTGTTTGTGCTCTGTTTTACATGAACTGAAATGTCTATCGATGCAATTTTTGAATCGAGAACCCGCGAGTAAACGGATGTGATAATCACATATATCTTGCATACTCTACACACTACCAAAACATATAATTTGATATGCACACCACACATTACCAAAGCATATAATCCCATATTATAACCACCACATTTATAAACACCACATTGCATATTATAAACACCACACATTACCAAAGCATATAATCGCAAATTATACGCAGATTTCACTTTTCGGCGTGTTAGAAGGAGAGGTGTAATTCCACCCCTTCATCTTCACAACGCAGGCACGTTTATAACAAGCAGATGCAAAGTGTTAGGTTTTCACTTGTTTTTCCTCAAAATATGAGTCTGTTTTTTTAGGACTCCCACAGTTTTCATGTCCTCACTCATTTGATGCCCCAATGTGCGGCATGTCGTCATTAATTTCGCCGGTAACGATTACACCGTTCCGAGAAACTTCGCCCGCCACAAATCGTCACGCGCGCGTCAACACCAGCGGAACGGTGTATGTTTATCGTGTGAACACATGTGAGCCCTCGGACCAGCCGGCTATGTGTCGTTATCGCGCTGCGTGACCCTCGCTCTTCGCCACATGCAAATGTCTATGGTTCTGTTTACCAGCTAACTTTCCAGCCAATCGCTGCACAGCACCCGCGTAGCCGGTCCGAGCAGTACAAATCCGGACTGAACTGGTTTTTCAACCGCTCCTGACGCTGAATCACGCGCGTAATGTAGTTCTCGGTGATGCTGTTTCTTGGTCCTACGTATCCGTTACCCGCCCGCTCGTCTCGCCGTAAAAGTGATTGCTTTAGGTGGTGTACTTTGCTCCTATGCCGACCCATATTTGTGAGGCCACTATGCACTGATATGTCGGAATTAGGTTTAATATCGGCTGTCACTTGGGGTGCGTTCTTTCATCCCACTATGCAGACAATCATACGTGAGGCGCGCCTGGACCGACACGAGCGCGCATGCGTGACCCGAAGCCCTAATTTGTGGTGGAGAATGGTGTCGTGAGCAATCGTCGCCGGTACGATGGGATCAGTTCATTATTGTAGTGCGTTCTGCTCTCTTTGGGCTGTTCTCAAGTGCACTTCCCAGTCGCACTCAGTTTCACTGGCCACACCAATGTATGCGAGCAGGCGTCTGCCTGATTTCGCCTCAGTGCTGTCGAATACAGAAGCTCGGTTCATGAGTTGATTTCCGCGCTCCTCGATCCAGCAGAGCATACTTCTCGGATCAGCTGATTCAGGCTTCCGATGCGGATGATGCGGCTCGATTCCTGGAGTGGTTTTGAGTGAGTGATGTCTGCTCTGGTGCAACTGTCTGGAACATAATGCGGTTCGCGCATTGGCTGATGCGGGGCAATGACGGAGTTCATAAGTTTGCACGTTTTCAGGGTACATGTGTCAGTTTTCTGCATATGCAAACTGTCCGGGCTAAGAATTTGCATCGCTGGGTATGTTTACGCGGGTGTTAATGCATAGAATGGGTCCAAACACTCCAATACAGTCTCCGCTTCGGTCTGTAAAGTTTCACTGAATCGATTTTCACCTTCACCCAACTGTGGTTGATTCTGGAATCGATTCCTTCCCTACACTTGACGAAGATGAACTAGTCGAAATTGAAGAGACCGAACGACTCAGAACTCTTGCACAAACCTGACGAACGCCGCCGCATGAAACCGCGCGCGTCCATTACCGACGGCGCGTTCCCGAGCGCTCCCTCTGTAAGTTCTAGAAGTGGCATGACTGGAATCATCTGGAATCTGGAATCCAATCCATGCCATCTGGAATCACTCCTGGGACGGACCAACTCTTCCGCAATGTTCATGCGCAGAGTCATCGAGACTTGGCCTTATTTCGTGCGCCACCACAGACGCTGCCGGGACGTTTACGTAATTCACGTACACGTGTGAGGGCAGGGAATGGGGAAGGCCTGACGACAGCCAGCATGGAAACGCACGTGGGCCACTGTCGTCACCCTCCCTGGCATCCGATAACGGTGCGATACGACCCCCCCCCCCCCCCCCACTCTCCTGTCACGCGGCGGTCGCGCAGCGGGGCGCCGAGGGGCTACCGCTGCCGCCGTGTGGTCCCGGCGCACGGGCGGCGTCAGGAGGACGGGCTGGGAGGCACACTGCTCATGCGCTTTTGTCAGGGACCGGGCTGAGCGCGTGCGCCATCCTGTTTCGGCCTTGCACGACGACGCCCACGAACCCTCGATTTCTTCCCGATGTATTCAACGCCGCTGTCCGACAGATTGGGAAAATAATACAACTCTCACATCTGTGTTGAAACAGTAGTCTGCCTCACTCTTCGTGAGCGCAGGCCTCCGTTGCCGGGCTCTGAAACGCGTGCCAGCGGCTGCTGCACGATTGTGGTTTGTTCTGACCTACCCTATAGTGCGTAGACAAGTCCCTGCCAACGACAAAGTCGGGGGCAAGTGTGCTGCTATTGCAGAAGGTGATGTAGTGTTTGCCTGACGCTGAGGGGGCATGTTTGAGGCCTCTTTGAATTTGCTGTGAGGACATTTGCGCTGGTGTTGCGTGACGATTCGGGGCGCCGCCTGGATCCGCCGCTGTCCTGTCGGGGCGCTGCCTGGATCCGCCGCTGTCCTGTCGGGGCGCCGCCTGGATCCGCCGCTGTCCTGTCGGGGCGCCGCCTGGATCCGCCGCCGTCAGGCACCCGTCCCCTCCCGCACTGGACCCGCGCCTATCGGTCGGCAGGGCATGAGCGTGGCGCGGCCCCCTCTTCGTCCTCCCGCACCGACGATAAACACAGCCGGCCGCCGGGCCGGTCCGCCACGACACGACAGTCTTGGCTGTAGTGTCTCGGCGTCGGCGGACAGGCGTGCGGCGCCACCGGCCGGGGCGTGCCGCGATCACCCCTCTGTGCTGCGTTGACAGCCGGGAGTGCGAGGCTGCGGGCCCGACGCCGCTCGGCCGGCGTGCGGTGCGCCCGGTGACGCAGCGGCGGCCACACGCCGGCGCAGCTGTGCGGAACTCGGCCGTGGCCGGCTGTTGCGAGGCCTTGAGTGCGAATGCTGTGCGATCTTGGCTACTGACGTGGACGACCGTCCGGTGTCGTGAGCAGCGGCGTTTGTGAGGTGCAGCGTCTCAGCCGCGGGTCGGGTCCGCGGTGCTCCGTGACGGGCCGGCGCGTCTGGGCCCGCGCGTCCCCCGCTGAACGAAAACCACACTGCTCGGCTTGCGCAAGCGCTACCTCGTGTGGCCCGGCGCGTGGCACCGGGCTGCGTCCCGCAGACTGAGTGCAGCGGTGCCCGGCGCCTGAGGCCGAGCCATGGTTGTGCCCGAGGTGGCCCCGACCGGTGCTCGCGGCTACGGGGCCATAGCGCCAGCCGAGCCGGCCGCGCGAGGAGACAAGGGGAGTGTCGACGGTGGCCGTGGTGGCCGCGGCGGGTCGTTCAGGTGAGGCACCCTCACTGCTCAAATCAGGCGTGCATGATATGCATAGCGGAGGGGAATGTCAAGGAGTTGTTCAGGCTGGAGGAATCACGAAAAACCAGGACTGCCCCTTTCGTGTTGGTTGCTGTTGTGTCTTCGCTGGCGTGCCATGTAAGTGTCTAATTACCACTGGCCTAGGAACAGGGGGCTTGGGGGGGGGGGGGGCACGGCCCCCCTCCACTTTTCAAGGTGACGGGGGGCAGGGCAGCAGTGTTAGCTGAACCCCCCCCCCCCCCCACACTTTTCAGATTGAGGTTGTGTCCAGCATACTTTTCCATCACATTTAAATGTGCGTGCCGATTCACCAGCCATCTTCCTCAATGAGCGCCATCTTTTTCGTTTGCTTATTAACCATCGCTTAATATCACAACTGCAGGCCAACGCTGCGCGGCCTATGGAGACTGCAACGCCAGACATCCAGGCTGTTATTGCTATGACTTGCGAGCGCGTATGTTCAGAACCATAATACATAGTTTTTTTGTCAGTAATAAATTCTGACTGAATCATGAACATTTTAAGACGAACACGGATCAGCCATGTTAAGACTTAAAGCTTGTTAAGCTCGTTAAGTAACTATGTTAAGCTTATGACTCACTTCATCTACAATCTACGTTCAGAATTGCTCAATATCTCTGAGGAACACAGACAAACAAGGAACTGGAGCCTATGTGACAATCATTGGACCACCTTTGGTGATCAAGGATGCTGCTGCGTCAATGAGGGCTCCTGTGTTGATCTGGGGACAACTGCGCGGGTCAGAGGGCCTCCCGCGTCAGGGAGGGGAACAGTGTGATGTTATATCCTTGCGACGGCCTCCGGATTGACCAGGTCGCTAGCATGGCAGTCAGAGGACACTTCGTGATGGGATGGAGTGGCCCATCAGCCCTTGACTGGAACCGGTAATGTACCCCTGGTGTTCTACTCAGGGACCCCTTGCCCGGAATGACTTAACGAGGTCTCATTATTGTTGAGTAGAGTAGGGAGTCTCATTATTGCTGAATAGAGTGGGTCGACATAAACTTTAAAAAACGAGCAAGGCCATACCATGTTTGCCTGAAAACGTTCATTTTTTCAGAATGGGTTAGTGAAAAAAATGCACCAAAAGGTTTGAACATGCCCGCCCGGAACCTCGAGAGCAAGGACAGCGATGGTCTGTGTTGTAGCTCCCGTAAAACCTAGCTCGTAGGCCACTGCAAGTGTCACCAAACGGCGGGCGCCGTGTTAATCTGTCTTCTAGACGGACTAATAGTCACAGAAACACGAACAATAGAGAATTTACCTTTACTCTTTCATTTCCACCACCAGATTCCAGCACCGCTTCGCAGTGCTTTAAGGACCGATCGGTTCTTATTATCAATGTAAAAATCGTACACGTGAAATATGCACCCAGACTGCCTTGTAGATGTAAAATTTGATGTTCTGAAACGTTCAAAGGTACTTCTTTCAAAAGTGCCATTATTTTCGACCACCCGCTGGCCACGGCTCACTATCAACCACTGGGCCAACGACGCGCGGCCTACGGAGACTGCAACGCCTGGAGTCGTGTTTTTTAACAAGTTTTGCGAGTACGCATGCTCAAAATTATGCCACCTTTTATTACACTAAATTTTAGTTCCTAAAGGTTATGTTAAAGGAAAGGTAAAAGGTAAAGGTAATTTCAGAACCGTTATCAGTTGCATCCAGCGGTGGGACACGGCGAAAAGTTAACCACTGGCTAGCGCTTCGCGGACTAAGAAGACTGCAACGCCTGACATCAGGGTTTTTGTTGGTGAGATTTGCGAGCGCGCATGTTTAAAACCACATTATATAAATTGTATCACTGAGCGATTCGGCCTGAATGTTTAAAATTTCCAGACAAACATGGCTTGGCGATGTTAATATACATTGTTGGCCACTCCATCCACAATCACAATTTTCACCCTCAAATTTCGATCAAACACATCGATTTACAGTCTACTTTTGCGATGTCCTCAATGTCTGTAGAACGCAGATAAAACTTTACGAAAAAGCTTCTGAATTCTGTCTATTTAGAAAGAGTCCACTTAACCATTGTAAATTAAAGACACCTGTAATTTATTCCATGCGGTCGTTACCTAAGCGCCTGATTTCTATGGTTCATTGACCTTAAAAATGTCAACAGAATTGTCTCACGGTGGCTTCTGGTTTCTGTTCTGGTCACAGCGCAAAAAATAGCAATGGAACGAAGAAAACGGTATCCCTTGGTAACAAGTTAACTATATTAGAGGATTTTGGGGGAGGGCGGGGGTGGATCACCTTAAGTGGGGCTTTTGTCAACCTGCGTTTCTCTTAGCAAGACTCTGGCTACCCCCTGCCTACACGTAAAAGCAGATCAAGTCATCTACGTCGAGTGGTGGGCAATTGCATGGCCGTAGGACCAATTCATACCTAAGGTAAGCAGCTTCCCGGAGCCATTTTTCTGGGTTGGTATGGTGTAAGGGAAGATAATGCGGTAAAAGGTGCTGCTGCAGGTGTCCAACACATGTTATGCATCCCAATTAGTAGCAATGCTGATCCAGGACTGTGCAACAAAGCAGCCATACCATCAGTTCACGGTCAGTCATCCAGAGACGGCCGGGCCAGGGCAGTGGCCACCGAAGGCAGGCGGGAGCAGTGCTCAGACGAGGAATATATGACAGAAGGGCCTTCATTCTGTGGCTTGGTTCTCAAAGAAGGATCCAGTTTTATGGCTTTTGTCACATGGTTTTTGGCAGTTTCAAGCTTCCGAATTCGTTTCCGCCTAAAATGCCGCGACAAGTCTAATCTCCTGAAAAGCAGCCAGCGAAATGAAGGCGAATGCAAAATCTGCTGTACTGTGAGCCATTGATTCACTTTCAAAATTCCCACCAGCCTTTGCTTAGGCCATATTTTGGCATCTACCCTGTGAAGACAGATGCCTCCTCAATAACCCATAATGCCTAGCTCCTCGTGGACCTTCACGCCCCTAGGAAAGACAATGTTGAAATGGACAAATAATCTTGGGAAGCTGGATAGTGTTATTTGCCGAATGACAGATGAGTCGGATAGGCAATAGTGTGCACCAGTGAGAAACAGCTCTAGATCCATATCTAGACTATCAGTCATTACATCTGAATAAACAGCGATAACCTCCATCCCTACCCCCTCTCCCCCCGGTCATCTGGATTGTTTTCCAGAAAAAGTTCCTGAAGTATGCCATGAGCTTGGCCCCCGACTTTTTGAAACGTTCCTACGCCTATGCCCATCACCATTGTGCACATGTCGGACAAAGTGGAGAGTATTACGTGTGCGTGTAGTGTATATATATATATACTGCATGCCACGACATAACCTTCAAAGACGCCTAACCTATATGATGACCGATCAGGCAATGCTATGAAGAAGATTAACTACTTCGTCAGCCAGGCGACCTAGGTATACGACGGCCCCAGGCTCGCCAACGGTGGTGGCTCCGGATGTCAAGAACATTTTGAAGCCTGGACAGAAATTCAGTTTTCCCTATAAATTTATACTGGCTTAAATACGTACTTCATAAAAATCTAAGCCAGAATAAATTTATAGGGAAAACTGAATTTCCGTCCGGGCTTCAAAATGTTCCTGACATCCGGAGTACATCAGGAGAAATACGTACTTCATACAAAATCTCTCATCCCAATATGGTAAGAAAAGATGGGATGTCGCAATTCTGTCTTTCCAGCTCGATTTCATTTTCAATATTTCCAACTTACTTTTATTTCGTTGCCTTTTCCTGGTGGATCACTATTACATATATGGCGCTCTTTAGTCTAATGATCCGCACACACACAAACTTGCTTGGCCTTGCGCGTGCCACCCATTTCACATCAAATGGCAAACAGTCATGCAAGGGAATGACCATCGCGCGATGGTCTGGGGTTGTATGATGAACACGGCTCTATAACAAACGAGTAAATCGTGGATTGGCACAGCAGTTCAATCCTGCATTTAGACAGTTACACCATTTTAGGTGGTCCACTTAGGTCTATGTTTACCGAGCAGATGTCAAACTTTGTAAACGTGTGGGAATCGCAGCGGCCAAATACTTTCTCGGTACTGTGTTGCCAATGTGGATGAGTTCACGCTGCTCATTTGAAGTAAGGTGAGCATCCATCTTTCATACCACAACTTCAGGTGATATTGATATAAAAACAATATTGCTTCCATTGCTAACTGATCATTTACCCACCTTTCAGTTTATTAATGCTAAATGTACACAGTTCACCCACATATTTTGATGACGTGGATGTGGGTTATAGTGGAATGTTTTGTTAAGGTTTAGTATTCAAGTACTCACATTGGTGTGCCAAAATTGTTTCCATATATTATGTCACCTTGTCACACATTGTTTTATATAATCATGTAATAAATATGTGCCAAGGACCATGACACAGCTTGAGTCGAAACGCTGGCTTGCATCTGGGATTCTACAGGTCTGTTGGGCACCATGCAAACTCTCATGATTTGCATGGTGCAAACCATGGGAGTTTGTGAGCTTTTATCACATGCACTATTTTTGAATGGTATCAGCTGATAGAGAACTGGACATGCAGGCCTTGCAGTAATTTAGGGCCTGGGTGTGCTGGTCCAGTGATGCTGGCCCATCAGGGGCAACCTGATTGGCCCACACAGAGCTTGCACCCCACTGAGCTGGCTGATCATCGGCCACAGAGATAGCCCAGCATTATGGGCCAGCACATTGCTATTGGAGAAATGTCTGGGGTCTGCAAATGACTTGGTTGATGCTTAATGAATGCACTGATGAGTAAATGAATGAATGTGTGGATGGGTGAATGACTGAATGCATGTGCGGATGAAGAAATGAATACACATGAATGAATGACTGCCCAACACAATGAAAGACCTGACTTGGGTTTGGTTCTGATCTTATATGTTTTTTTTAGTAGTCTGGCTTAATGCAAGTAGGTTCTTCCCCATACCTACTCAGTGTTGTCCAAAACAGGCCTGTGTTGAGCCAACACCTGGTGGCCTGCAACAACTTACTGTCATGGTCTTGCATAATATTTTGACATCTCAAATGGTGTTGGCTTTCACATACATCATAAAATAATGCTGGGCCATTGTGTCACTAGGTTTCCATACTGATGCTGGGTCTCCCACCAGGTATGAGCCGCTGGCGCTCGATGAAGGTCTGCGGCACCGCGCCGTCATCGGCAAGGGCACCGAGGAGGAGCTGGTGGTGCGCGGCTACTGTCGCAGCCTGCCCCTCAGCGCCATCTTCTGGGTGGGGTCGCTGGCGCTGGGCCTGTGGCCCCTGCTGGTCACCTACTGGCGGCCGGACTGGCGGCTGCGGCTCACGCACGGGCGCTGTCCACTCTGGTGCGCCACGGCCGTCCTCCTCACGGTGGGTCACGCGTCTGCACTCCGGTGCGCCGCGGTCGTCAGCACGGTGGCTCCCCCTCCTGTTGACTTCGTTACGGCACTGTCGTCCCCGCGATGGAGCAGTCCTCTCCGTTCTGCCTCGACACGCATGATGATTTCCTCATCTCCACCCCGCCGCCCCACCGGTCTCGCATTGGGCGACGTCGGTGCAGGCCAGCTCACGACGTGTCGCCATTCCACCGTGCTCTGTGTGCGTGCGCGCCAGGTGTCGTCGGCGCCCGACGGCGCGACCCTGCGGAGCGGCGCAGCACGGCCGCGCTGACCGGCTCTGCCCGCCAGGACCTGCACGGCCGGACGTCGGTGGAGTCGGTGGTGAGCGAACGTGCCGGACCGGCGACGCCACCCCCGTTTCGGATCAGGAGGACGGCGGCGGAGGCGGCGGACCGCAGTCCGCTCCTGTTGCATCAGGACGAGGACGAGGTCAGTTGGGAAGTCGTCTAGCCGGTCAGCCGGAGGTCACGAAGGGTCAGCGGTCCTCGTGAAGTGGGCCACGAGGGGAGGTGAGACGAGATCTGGCTGGAGCCGTCAGGCTGGTGGTGATAGTTGTGAGGAGGAAAGTTATTGGGATGCAGGTGGGTGTCTCGGGGCGGGTAGCGGTGAAGTGAGCAGAATGGTCGTTTAGGGGAACACTCACCGCGAGTCCCGTTATGACGGCCTGGTGAACGGCCATTGCGGAGTCAACTCTCCATGCTTGACTCAGTTTTCCTGATAGGACGTGTACCCGACCTATACGAACCTGGGATGCGAGGTATTAATATCCTGCTAGCCGTCAGTGGTATATACTGCTAATAGATAACATTGTGAATACTTATCGCACATGCATGTATTACATGGCACAATTGCATGCATGCCTTATTTGTATGCATGCATCTTCTGGACATACGTTGTGAACGCATGTTGGCGTAGGTAACCATTCTAAAAATTGCGCATTGACAAAGTTCTCGTGTGTTTTTAAAGACATCAAAGACATCTTTGTTTTGTTTTAAGCTGGTAGTAGCGCAGTTAAGACTTCAGAGAGAGGTATGTAAACTATGCTGTTTTAAAGCGGCCCTTTAAAGTGACGAGTGACAGCGTCAACGGTATCCAGTTTAGCATGCATATTCGGGAGCGGAGATGGTCTCGTTGCCAGGACTCGTCCGATGGGGAGGGGCAGGACCGGACCTCCACGTCAAGCAAAGCACATGATACCTTGCTCAGTCCCCAGGTTGGTGACGACAGAGATGCTTCGGTGGTGAGTTCTAATCCCCTTACGTCTACGTGTCACTTTCTTTTTCTTTCGTCATCAGGCCCGTATGGTGCCTTGGTGATCCTGCCTAGTGGGGGCGGTCTGGCCGACTAACAGACGGCTCAATATTGTCTCGCGATCTGTGCTGTGCACACGTCAATATATTTTTATACGTGCTCGGAAAGAGAGAGGGGCTGCACGTGCTGCATGGTCGATATGTTGATTGTAGCAGTGGGTAAACAAAACTTCACGCACATACATACACACACACATTTATATACATATGTAGGCATCTAAAGTAGTAGCGCGTGGGGGGGGGGGTCCAGATTAATTAGCCAGACGCATAGCGCAGACGGCTGCCCAGTTTGCGGTGTATTTTGCACACAGACGGGCTTAAGCTTCGTGACAGCCCGCGGCATGAACTGACGGCTCTCCGATGCCGGTGTCGGTCAGCACTGGTAGAAGGATGCACGTTTTCATTGTAATAGACGGCATGCTTTGCATTTGGAGCGATACTCTTTTGGTTATGAGGGAGAAAAAAATGTGAAAGGGCTAAGCAGCCGAAAACGTGCCGCAAAGCTGGAGCGACAATAGCTAGCACGTCCCCGCGGACGGGAGACGGGCAATTGACGCAGGCAATGCGAGCTTACGAATACTTATCAGAATATGCTGTGCATCATTAAGGTTTAAATTGATGTTAAGTGGCTGACGAGCGTACCACAAGGACGCTAACGGCACTGACTCTTTGCGCAGCGAAGCAGGGAGAGGCCATAACCAGATTTATTTATTTAATACCCTGATTGCATGACGCAGCATTGCGCGGGCGACCTGTCCGCGTGCTTTAGGAGAGGGGAACTTTTATAGATACTAACTGAGACTCGCTCATGTAGTTGTGACAAGAATCAACGTCACGTCACGGCTGGGGACACTGCCAGCACCAACATCACCGGCTCTTCACGCAGCGCGGCGAGCGGGAATTATAAGCATCGATGTCCCGGGTGCGTGGAAACGCGTTACGCAGGCCATGCGTGGGAGTGATCCATGAGTGTTAAATAGCCTACATGCGCTAACTCAGGGATGAAGCAGGTGGAGCCGCGGGGGCCATGACCCACTGTACCATGAGGTTCCGCTAGATGCAGGGCGATTGCGCAGGAATTCGGTAAAACTTCGCAGGAGTTTGGTTGACGTCATTTTGTTGGGAGTAGCTGTTACATCGTCGGCGGCAGAGCTACCGATGCTAACAGCGTCGCCTCCTCGCGCAGTGAAGTACGCGGGGACGTCTTGGCCGACTCTGGCTCTTCGCGCAGCGAAGCAAACGGGTACCGCTTGTATGCTACTACTCTAACGGCCATCGTAGGCTTTCAGTCAGTGAACATTACGTGATTTGATATGCGCCGAGGCTTCGTGTTGTCTAGATGCATGCGCAGTTGTATGTTTAGGATGATTGCAAGGCGCAGACGAGCCCAGGGTAAACGGACAAGCCATTCCGACTTTCAAAGCATGCAGCTCTTGGGGTCTTCAAGCCAACAATGTCTCAACCCTTCCCGCTATATCCCTAAGAGCTGTCTAGATTATTAACAAATGCCCATGTCATACGTCTGTTGCACAATGCTCGGGTAACTAGCATAGCCCAGTTTCAAGTCAGCCACGTGCACGTCTCAGACATTTATGATTGAACCAAACTGTGAGACGGGTGTTTAAGAAGCGGATTCGAATCTCCGAATTCTTTCGTGACTTGACAACCATTGCCGAATCCGATTCGGCTTCCAATTCCCATTGCGATTCGGAATATGCGACACACCCAAATCTAAACCTGGCTCCGGCCAAAACAGAATTGATGTTGTAATCGTATACAATTCCGCGCACGGCCAGCACAGCTCTCCTGACTGTGTTGGCCACAAGCATGTCAGCTGGCGTTTTCCACCGGCGATGAAGTCGTGAACCAAAACCATGACGTTCGCTGCATGCCTGAAATAGTATTGCAGTTTTATGCGCCCTGATTATGAACTGACCTGAAGATCCCACCGGCCTGCTTCAGCTACCTGTAAGCAGGAAATTGCGTTGTTCCATTACAGTCAAAGCGTGCAGAATAACTGAGGTTTTGTTGGATCTGGTCCAAATCTTTCATTGGACGCCTTTCCGGGATCCCGGCAGTGCTTGTTTCCCGAGCCCTGACCCCGCCACAGTCAGGCCACCGCCTTGGAGTCGGGCTGTATACCGCCCAATGTGCTCATGTGATAATGGAGAATCCGGAGATGATACGTTATCATATTATGGTACCTCGAGGCGGACGCATTGTCGTCATCTTGTGTGGTTTTTTTTTTAGAGGGGCGCATGGTACGATTTTTCTGAGAGGACACGTATTCCTGCTTTTGACAGAGTTTTTTCCTAATGCCTTGCGTGGATGTCATAGCGTCCAGAATACATGCTAAGCAGAGGTTATTACTTATACTCACAACTCATCACCCATGCGACGCCATTTTAGTGCAACGCGTTATTTGGTCTCCTGCCTTCGGCCGATAGTCTTGCGGAAGGATCTTTCTGAAGTTGTATGTTTGCATACCGCGGCTCTCCGCGTCAGGTAAGCCTGTGCGATTTACGATCGGACTGCTTTGCGAGCTGTTGGGCCGAGCAGGTTGTTCTCTGTCGGACTTGCATTCTACGCCTTCTTCGGAGGGGCACTGTGGAAACATTTTGTTACAGATATGAGGCGCACATCGGCTTATGCTTATCGGCTCTTTCCAGCGTCAGCGAAGCTCACAGTTATCTGCTTCTTTCTGCCCACGATTAACCTGCTCTAATCAGCTGCTCACGTTTTTTTTAAGGAAAGCATGTGGAGAGAAAGTGAGTCGTCCTGGAGCGTACTTACTCGTGTATGGCATCTTTATGTTCTTCGTTGCTCATCCAGGCGTTATATGATGTAATTTGGTCCGTACGTTTGGTTTTGCTTCGGCATTTCTAACCACCGTCGTCCCGAACGTCGTCGCGCCCTCTGAGATTGTCAGTGACGGAAACCGTGTGCCACCCCAGGACCACATTCGCTACTTCTGGTCGTACCACCTGAAGTACACCTGGAACCACGAGACCGGCTGCTTCGTCCAGCTGAGCGGCCTGGACAGGGGTGTCAGGGTCTCCCAGCTGCTGGAGAATTACAACGGGTACTCACCGGCGGAGCAGGCAGACAGGTCGGTGTCTGGTGTGGCGTCGCTGGGTGCTGGCGCGGAATGTCGTTTTGCGGGTGCGAACAAGTCACTCCGAACTGTGAAACGCTGCTTAGATTGGGGGCAAAGATAGTGAATTCGATCACACGTTCGATACTTCTTGCACTTTCGCACCGTTGCGCGGTTTGGATGGTTTCCTAACATTGCCAGTTGCCAGTTGCGCTCATATATATACATACATATATATATATATATATATATATATATATATATATATATATGTTACGTAAGTTGTTCAGTGCATTAGCGAGGAGCATTATTGACATGGATAAGACAGAAGTCTTCTGCTATTGTTTCGATAAAGGCATGTTGCCGAAATATCAACCCATCTGTATCTCGATTATCCTGGTTTTTCTCCAAGGAATAAGGCTATTACTACTGTGTTATCAGTTGCGCTGATATGTGCCCGTGGACGGCTCTCGCGTGAAGCGTTCGTGCCAGCTGATCGCGTGTCTTCAGCTGTGGTCTTCCTCAATTCGACTTAAACTTTGGCTCGAAACAGCTCGGCGGCGTGTCACCGCCTCTTCATTCTTGAGCATCTCTGTTTTGGCCGATATGTCCGCTTTTTCCGTGGCAGTTTGTCTGCAGGCTTTTTGGTGTAATTTTGTGGCTGTTACACCGGCAATTTTCAACCTTACATGTACTGGGAGGGCCGGTTTGGCGATGTAATCAAGCAAACCGTGGTAATATTATCAATACTGAACGTTTCAAGCGGTGCTTATGTTTACGAGTAAAGAAGATTAAGCATATTGTCAGGCTTAAAAGCCAAGACACATCAATCCAGAAAATACTCCAAATCCGTGCGAACGCTGCTACCAACAAGACATAAAAGTAATAGACCATCCGAGCTTCCACATTATAGCACTCAATAGGTGGTTCTGCGCTAAGGACTGCACGACGCACAACGCCGGAAAGTTACGATGCCTCACTCCGAGCATTAGATAAGGAAATTACTTGCCGCGATCTTCAGACGCCGCGAACATTGCCTGAACTTCGCGAACGTCCCAGGTATTCAGGCTTATCCCAACGCCTAATACACGCCGCTGCTTAGATCTGCGCGAAACACAGGCAGCCGAGACCAAAGGGTTGGTGTGTTAACCCCGGCACCCGCCCCGTGCTGAAGTCAAAACCAGGCGGGCGTACTGCAGCGGAAGGAGCAAACAGCCGGGAAACCGAGAATGTGTGCCAAAAACAGTAGGCCACAATGCAGACATTGTTCCCGCATACCCGTCTTCAAATGACCCAGTTCATCTGAGTCGTTCCAATATGCATGTTCTGCGACCTTGGTGTAGCCAGTAATGGCTCCTATGTCATGCAACGACCAACAAACAAGCGCGCATGAGAGCCGCCCGCAACTCCACCGGGACTGCTCTGTGATGCGGTGCTCCCCCGGCCGGCAGGCTGTCGCTGTACGGAGAGAACAGGATCACCGTCCAGGTCAAGTCGTACCTGCGCCTTCTCGTCGAGGAGGCGCTGAATCCGTTTTACATCTTCCAAGTCTGCAGCCTGACGCTGTGGGCGCTCGACGACTACGAGATCTACGCCACCTGCATCTTCGTCATCTCTGTCATCTCGATCGGCGTCTCCCTCTACGAGACCAGGAAGGTGGGCACACGGGGAGGCGAGAGGAAGCGCTCCGTGTGGTGGGAGCTCACCTGCGACCCCCTGACAGGATGTGGGCGGACTGTGCTCCGTAGTATAGCGGTCGGCTCAATCCCGTGGGCATCTGATCATAGTGTTAACGTGGCTTGTGTCTTCAGGTGGCTTCGCCGGGGACGCGTTTCTGTGTGCGTCCCTGGAATCCTTGCTAAGTCCGCTGGTGGTGTGCAGTTTGCCGGCGTCATCCACGAATGGTGCCTCTCAGGTGACCCAGACGCCAGCTCCCCGGGATGGTCAGTCTGAGGGGGGCCGGTCCTCTGCTGCCGTCAGCGCACGGCATCGAGGCGTCCTGTCTCTGCCGGCTCTCCGCCTGTGCTTGTGTGGCCGGCTGACGCTGCGCGGCTGCTCCGTCCTGTTCGTGGTCTGACCTTGATGGGGTGGGTCATTGTGCGGGCGTTTTGGCGAGTGGTTCAGTGTTGCCTGCTGCCCCGCCTTACTTTCACAGTTTTGGCTTTAGTGGCAATTGCCGCACGCCAGCGATGTCTGTTGAAGATATCGGGCACAACAGAGAGCACCTGGTAGAATCTTATAACGAAACCAGACTTTTTTCATAGTTTCAAACCATTACCTACACTAGACTTAATGGCACTGCTCGAAGTTTCGTTTCGCAGCAGGCGCCACTTCATCGTTGAACGTCCTCGTCGACTTACAATTTACTAACTCTCATCAGCCTGCTTATCCGGCTGTTCGATGCGCTGGCGGGCATGAGAACGAACGCCGGGGACGGAAGGCTGTCGCAACGTCGTCAGGCGAGGCCGCTTTACCCAGTCGTCGCGGTGCTGTTCCCCCTACAAACGCGTCCATTTGGTGACATCCGCAGTGCAGCTATCTTAGACCCTATGCCCACCCTATGCCGCCTCGAGTGCCGCCTCGCTCCCTCGCATGGCCGCCTCGCTGCCCCATGTGCCGCCTCGTCGCCTGGTGGGCTCGTCCGTGACGCCGGCCTCGCGCCTGATATGCCGCCTCATCGCCTCGTGTGCCGCCTCGCCGCCTCGTGTGCCGCCTCGCTGCCTCATGTGCCCGCCTCGCCGCCTCGTGTGCCACCTCAGCGCCTCATGCGTCCGCCTCGCCGCCTCGTGTGCCACCTCACCGCCTCATGCGCCCGTCTCGTCGCCTCGTGTGCCGCCTCGCCGCCTTGTGTGCCGCCTCGCTGCCTCATGTGCCCGCCTCGCCGCCTCGTGTGCCACGTCACCGCCTCATGCGCCCGCCTCGTCGCCTCGTGTGCCGCCTCGCCGCCTTGTCTGCCGTCTCGCCGCCTCGCGTGCTCGTCTGTGACGCCGGCCTCGCGCCTCACGGCCCCTGTGTTCCACAGCAAAGCGAGACGCTGCGGGACATGGTGCTCGCCTCGGCGGTCAGCACGGTGACCGTTCGGCGCAGCGACGGAGGTGAGGCGCGCCGCTGGCGCTGCTTAGCGCGATATCGACGCTCGCGCACCGCTGACACCGAGATGCGCGCGCGGTGCGGGCTGTGCGCGGACGTGGTTTGCCGCTAGGTTGTGTGCTTTCGTATACGGTTTGATTCTGGACACGTCGCAGTGTGAAGTAGTTGAGGCTACGTATGCCAGTGAATCCTGACACGGCTGCTGGTCACCAGCTGATTAAATATTGGACGGTGGTCTCCCTCCGGGCGAGTCGGTAGCATAGGGAAACGTCTGCTGCTCTGTATGTCCCAGCTGTTTGCCCCTGCCGGCCGGATAAAACGGACCCCTTTTCCCATGTTCATCCGTAAACTCCGATGCCTGGTGTTCATGCACGTTCGCCCCCGCCTTGGCACGTTTCGGGCTGTCCCGCGCATCCCCGCCTGCCAGCCCACGTCACCATCCGCCGTCGGTTAGCCCTCGGCGCGCCTTTGCAGAGGTGGTCGAGCTGGGCTGCGAGCGTCTGGTGCCGGGAGATGTGCTCGTGCTGCCCGAGAGCGGCTGCTCCATGGCCTGCGACGCCGTGCTGGTGGCCGGCTCCTGCATCGTCAACGAGTCCATGCTCACCGGTGAGGGCCATGCCGAGAGTCCATGGTGAGAGTTCATGCTCACCGGTGAGGGCATTGTGCGTGCTGAGGCGCCGACGCGATAGCCTGGATAGTTTCTTTGCGTCGGATGGCGAACGGCGGTTCATGTGAGCCGCTCTGGCCGCGTTTTCAGCCCTGGACTGGAGCCGGTGGTTCCGTTCTTTTCGGTCGTCTTCTTCGACCATGGAAGACACTACTAGGACGTGATGCGTTGTCAATAAGGCTTTCAGCTCTTTGTCGTAGTAGTATTAAACAACGCGTGAGATTGGGTCCCTCCGACTGAATGACCTTCCGCTAGGCGCCGATTATCGGTAATTGCTATGTTGCCTGAAATTAAAGTGGTGTACAATGTGCGCGGCCGCCAACTGGCGCGTGACGCGGCGTTCGGCGGCGTGCGCCTGACACTGGGTCCGCGCCAGGGGAGAGTGTGCCCGTGACGAAGACCCAGCTGACCTGCGGGGAGGAGGGGGAGCTGTTCTCGCCCGAGAGCCACAAGCGGCACACGCTGTTCTGCGGCACGCAGGTTATCCAGACGCGCTTCTACGGCAACAGCCCGGTGAGCAGCCCCTCTGTCCTGTCCCCTGCTCTGGGGCGGGACGTCTGTGGGGTGACGGGGTCACGCTGCGGGGTCGGTTCCCCTGTGCGGCCCGGCCAGCACAGTGGAGCCCGTGCTGCAGTGTCTCGCGGGCTTCACAGTGGAGGACGTTGAGTGTGGGGGCGTGTCCCGAACGTCCGGACTTCTCCGTTGCTTTGACGGGTTGCGTTGTCTGCCCGGATGACAGTGCGGGCATATGGACAGACGATGAGTCGGTTTCGTGTCGTGACGCGGGCCAGACGCGTGTGACGTCGTACTTTGGTCATACGCCAGCTGTGGCTCATGACTTGACGATGAGTCGGGCTCGCGTCGTGACGCAGGCCAGACGCGTGTGACGTCATACTTTGTTCATATACCAATTGTGGCTCATGACTTGACTATGAGTCGGGCACGCGTCGTGACGCAGGCCAGACGCGCGTGACGTCATGTGTCGATCATACGCGAATCATGTAACAGGACTTGCTTCGTCTGCCGTAGTGGTCGCTTCGACTTGCTCATCATTTTTGGCCCTGTTATACAAATAGCGAGAACAATTGTTGGGCGGTCTCATCAGCTGATAACACAGAGCCTCGCCCTTTTGTTTCTCAGGGACAAGGCCATTGTCAGGTGAAGTGTGTGGCAGGGACCCGTTTCTGCGGTGTTGATGCATTTTGGGAGTTCGTTCGTGTTGCGGTGAAGGCGCACAGGGGTTATGCGACTGATGTACGAGTGTGATCGTGGTAACTATCGGCCATTCAGTTCAGTTACTTTGAACTGAAGTTCTCTGAACCCCTCAACACGCGGTGGTGCTCTCACCTCACGTACACAACTTTGAACTTATCTTACGAAAGACGCTGAGGATAAGCGTGAAACATTAAGACCGATGCTTGTCTGACATCAAATTACATAATGAACTGCAGCCGGTGTGGTTGTTCTGAGTGCAACCATAATAACTGTTATGTCTGCCTGCTTGACCTGCGCACGTCGCGTCATAACAGTCAGACGCTGATTGCGACGCGGGACGAGCGAGGCGATGACGGCGTTGGATGCCATTCCATCCAGATGGCACGAAAGCAGAAACGAACGAAGCTCGTCGTCCTTGGGAACCCTCACAAATTGGTGCGGCAGCATAATGACGGGTCATCGTTCATTAGCGTAGTAGGCGTCGGCGCCCGTATTCGTGGCGTTCTCAAACAAATTCAGGAAGGCGATTTAGGGTAGCAGCAGATTTCTGCTTCTCCTCAATTTCTACCCCGAATCGCAGATTGTGTGAAAGAATTGTGTGAGAATCGGCTGGACGCGGGCCTGTCATGGCCTGGATATTTTAACCTGCAAAAGGGATGAATTTTATATGACTTACTTTCTCGACGACCGCGACCAAAGTGCTGCTAAACGCAAATTTGTCCTCGGCATTTGGACACAATTAACTACTGCGCGTAAAACCCCAATCATCATTGCAGCAGCAGTTGACACCCTAGGTTCGTCACCTGAGGTGGCGGTCATTTAGGCTGCTTCCGATTACTGGCACAACTATGGGTCGGGCAGTGTCAAGGCTGCTTAGCGATTTGCAGCTGGTACGTTCGCCGACAGCATGCAGTCACGTGTTTAACTGCCCTGGTTGCCGAAGTTAACATCTGCTGGCCGATATCAACGCCCAGAAGCGCGTAGGTCCGGGGTCAGTGACCCTAAGGGCGGAGGTCGGCACCGGGGCTCGCCATCGCGATCTCCAGCGGTGTCCTCTGTCAAAATGTGCCGGTCTGGTGTCGCTGCCTGGTGTCGATCCGTGTTCGACCTTGCCACTAAGGTGGCACAAATACCCAGTTGGTCGGCGTTGAGGCAGCTGCCTCGTGCCTGTTTTGTCCGAACACTATCTCAGCTTGATTTCACAACACAGCTTGGTTTGGGGGAGAGTTTGGTTTCCTTCGCTAGGTGTTTGCCAGGTGTTTGGGGGAGGCTGTGTCGCCCCGGGGATGGTGCTTACTTTCTGTTCACCTACGAGGGGAAGGATGCACCCCTGTTGGATATTTTTGACGAATGTGTACCAGTTACCTCCCTGCCTGTTACATTGCGCTGTGTTTGATGTTGCTTATTTTTGAAGCTGGGCTGTGGCATACTATGGCACGGGAACGGATATGGTTTCGTTTGCAGTGTGTCATTGTATGATACAAGTGAAACATTTATGCATGGACAATACTGCTTCGTACCATTTGCCGGGCGGATGCCAGTGTTAGCTGCCCTGCTGTGTGCTTTTTTCCAGTTCATGTCACGGTTACGAACTGTTAAGTCTAGTTTTCCAAGTTAATTTGGAGCCCAAATCCTCGACGGACCATTACACCTGTGCCCTCTATCAAGCAATGATTTTCTCCCCACTGTGCGCGATCTTCAGCCCGAGCGAACACATAACTGATGCAAACCGTGTCTGCTCTTCTCTTATAATGTCCCGCACGCACCATCCGCCGCTTCCATATGAGAAGTTGATCACGGGACGTGCGGCCGCCGTCGGCCCGGTGCGTACGGCCGCCGTCGGCCGGCGGACCGGACAGCCGGACCCCGCCTCGGCTGACTCCCCACTGCCGGCAGGTGCTCGCGGTGGTCATCCGCACAGGCTTCAGCACGGCCAAGGGCGAGCTCATCCGCTCCATCCTCTTCCCCAAGCCCATGGGCTTCAAGTTCTACCAGGACTCGATGCGGTTCATCGGCTTCCTGTTCCTGCTTTCGGTCAGCGGGCTGGCGTACACCGTGTACCTGTACGTCATCAGAGGCGTAAGTACACTGCGCGCGGCGCTTAGGGGCTGGCAGAGGAGGAAGAGGGGACGAAGCGGGCAGATTCGACCGTTTTCGACTGTCACGGCGTGTAATCGCACCGAATCTTCGACCCGTCATAGTCGCCAGCTTTGTGTCCGCGTTTTCATTGGCGTAGGGTGTAGGTGGGGTGGGATGGGTTAATAGTAGGACGATGCTGTTCCAGGCGCCCTATGAACCCAGACATCAGTGGAGTCCCGCTCTTTCCTGTGACTGGGCTGTAAATAGTCCACTGTCATTTGGGAACGTGCCATAGACGATCCCTGATAAGATGCGGACGGGGGTGTTCGGTGAATTACGCAACTGGTTTATGGTCGCCTCGCGAATCACTGCTTCTGTCCCATGCGTATATACTTGCCATACCACTTCACATAATATCAATAGACGTACACAGGAAATCAGTATGGATGGGTACGCGTCCACCATAAACGTCGATGCTTCGACACTCCAACGGTTGTATGGCGGGACACCGCGCCGGCGCGCTTTATGTTTGTTGGCATTCCCGATATTATAACGCCACAATCCACACTGGAACATAGCTGGATCCGCTGGTGCAGGTGGAGCCAGCGTCCTGGATCCGCCTGTGGTCACTGCAGGATGTGTTGTTTGTCAAAACGTGTGCATGCGATGCTTGTGTCAGCCTGAATAACCAGGTGCTTCCATTCGCTGGTACTTTTCCCCCATTTGCACCGGACTAAAAGCACTCCGGTCATTTCCGGGTATGTCAAGCATTGCCACTTATGCAGTCAGCGCATACAACTTTTTAATGCGACGAAACAACTGTCCGCATTCGTGTGAATCTGTTTGGACTGCTGTTTGCAGACTGTTTCGAATTACTCCGAAGTGTGTCCAAAATATGCCGTACATCCGCCTCTGTCCTAAATACAGAAGTCACCTTTGCGAGAACGATGTATCGGCAATCGATAAGAAATGGGCAATATGATTGCGAATTACGGAGCATCATACCAAGACAGAGTCATAACCTGCCCCCCCCCCCACCCCCCCCCCCCCCCACCCTCTTCCTCACTATGAAGCTGTCTCCGTCATTTTTATTTTTATATTGTATCACGTGTAGCATCCACACATCTTAAGAGTCATTGCGTTTCAAAACATCCCACTACGGGGAGTTCATTGGGCTAATTTCACGTTAGTTCACGTGTGTTCTAAACTGGTCAAGACGTTATGTTGAAAGTTTGATCCAGGGTGCAAAAATTAAATGTGGGAATAGTCACTCAACTTCAAGGGAATTGCTCTGAAGCGGTGCGCATGGATGGTAAAAAAATAAACCAGTTGGAGGTGGAATCGCAAGCCTTTTGATACAGTTGGTGTTTTGACGGGATAGTGTACAGTTCACAAATAGCTACATGCACCGCCATTAATTGAATCACAAATTATTTGCGTTGCATGTAGCGATGTAAATCTCGCAGAACCCCAACCACAATCTCGACGACAGCGCGTTGTACACCGCACAGGTCTTCGAAATGCCAACATTCCCGTATTGCCCGACGCGTGCCGACGCAGCCGTGCGTCCACGCCAAGCAACGTGTCCGTGACCCTGCCGACCGTCACAGCGTCAGTCGGCCCCCGCTCCCCGTCCCTGGCCCTGCCAGCCGTCACAGTATGTCGGCCAGCTCCTGTCGACCGTCACAGCGTCAGTCGGCCCCCGCTCCCCGTCCCTGACCCTGCCAGCTGTCACAGTATGTCGGTCACCCCCCCCCCCCTTCTCGCTGCCCTCCCCCCCCCCGTCCTCTGCTGACCTGAGCTCGCTCGGGCAGGCATCCGTGCGGCACACAGTGCTGCGCGCGCTGGACATCATCACCATCGCGGTGCCGCCGGCGCTGCCGGCCGCCATGACGGTCGGCACCGTGTACGCGCAGAACCGGCTGAAGGTGGCCAGCATCTTCTGCATCTCGCCACCGCGCATCAACGTCTGCGGCAAGCTCAAGCTCTTCTGCTTCGATAAGGTGCGACGCCGGCTTTGTCAGAGGTGTATCCCTACTGGCCGGTAGATCCCGGTTCACCACAGCCGATCGACGTAGGTTTGCTTGAGATCTTAATGTTTTCTGCGTGGTGATGGCACATGACGTTTTGGATTCTGTCACGCTTTGTAATGACAGCTGGCCGACAGTATCGATCTGTCTGTCCTTCAGAAAGACGACACATTCATTGATGAGATTACGGAGTGGCTGTGAAGAAAGGTTCCCATACTCTCTATAAAGCGGTCCCAATTTCGTCGGATGCGTACCAGACAAAGGTGATCACAGCTAACCGCGGAGTGGCCCTCGCCCTCGCCAGGAGAGGGGGCAAAGCGCAGTCTGTCGTGTCCAAACGCGCGCTGTTACGGCGCCAGAGGCTGGACTCTGATCATCCGTCCCCCCGCCCCTCCCTCGCAGACGGGTACGCTGACAGAGGACGGCCTGAGCATGTGGGGCGTGGTGCCGTGCTCTCCGGCCGGCTTCGCGCCGCCCGAGCGGCATGTGCCGGCCCTCAGCGACCGCAGCGAGCTGAAGGTGGCGCTCGCCGCCTGCCACGGCCTCACGCGGCTGGCCGGCCAGCTGATCGGGGACCCGCTCGATGTCAAGATGTTCGAGGCCACCGACTGGGTGAGTACGGCGACGGTGGCCTGCTCCGCGCGGCACCCGACGCAGCCGGGCGGCCGATCTGGCGGAGACGTGACCGGGACCCGGCCCGTCGCTGGCGGCTGCCGTCAGCATCCGGCCAAGAGGGACTGGTGGTGGGCAAACGAAGATCAGAAGGCAGCATTTATGGGGTGTGGATGTGTAACCCACATGTGGTAATCAATGAGTATACATACATTTAGTTCATGCAATCAAGCGGGTAATTTGGAGGCGTCGGAAGAGTGGAACTCAATCTGTGCTGTTAGTCCACTCTTAAGCCGCCTCCCAGCAAACCGTGCGCAACCAAATACACAACGCAGCTGCACAAAACCTCGGCCACACAAACCGACCGTGCCATCTGTCGCAGCTGGTTGCTCCAGCCACTGCGAGATAAAGCGGAGTTATTGATCAGCTGATCGGTCAGTTGATGGATGCTTACATGAGATCACAGCAGAAACCACGGCAAGAACCTTTGCTGATGTGGCACGTGTTTTGATGTTTTCTGGCAGATTGTACACTATAATTTATGCGTGCTGACCAACGTTGCGATGATGGGCAGAAGAACAAGACGAATTTCTCACGTGTAGCAAGACTGAGTTGTTGCGGGAGAGGATCGCGAACAAATGAACGTCATTGAAACGAAGGCCGTAACAATTCACGTTCAAGGCCTTGTTTTGTCCACGATTGTATCACTCACGCTGCCTTCATTTCGCTTGTTCACCCCCCAACCTTGAACTTTTCCCTTCGGTCGGTCCAGCTTCGTATGTTGTGTCTGACGAGACGAAAATAGTTTTCAACACAACACTGTATCTGTCACATTCCATACCTGTGTAAGCTGCCGCCCTTGCTTCACTCATGGGTGCTGTATGATCATTTGCACTCGACGCGGCCTAAAAACTGTAAATCATCACCATCATCATCCCAAAATATTATTCCATCCTCACCCACCTTTGTCATACTTAATGATAAAACGTATAACATGGAAGGATTATACTACGCAGGATAAAAACATTCAGCATTTACAACTACTTGTTGATGGAAGTACTGGATAAGGCCAGACGTTTTGTTGGGATGGGCAAGAGCTTCATCAAATCAAGTCAAATAGCTCCGAAGTCTGGGGCGGTGACAGCATCATCATCGGCGTGATCTCCTCAGTGCAGAGCCTTGTGGGGGCGGCGCTGCGCCGTCACTACATGCCGCTTGCACGTGATTTCGGCCCGCTGTGGTGCCGTGAACCCCGCTTCGAACGGCGCGGTCGCTGTACGGACTACTGCTGCGGTGCCTCGGCAACAAATGTGAGCCCAGTGCCGCGTAGGTTTTCCTCCATCCAGCGGTCCATCTTCTGCGACGTTTCGTCGCTCAGGTGGTTCTTCCAGTCGCCCGTCTGACCCTTCCTCATGAAGGACAGACGCTCACCGTCTGCTCCCTTTTGTCCCTTGATCCTGTCCTCTTTGTTGACCCACTTGTTCTCCCGCATGCTCTCGAAGCTAAGGTGGTGCTGCAGCCTGTCCAGCTCCTCGGCCGCCAGTTTCTTACCCAGGAACTCGGCCGTTCGCTCGATGACGGCTCGCAAATCCCTCTTCATCTCCTCGAATGTGAGGAACAACATGTTGGGGTGCTGCCGCTGGCGCCACGCCTGCAGCACGTTTGGGAAGAACGGCAGGCAGACCATCTTCCCTTCGGTGTACAGCGTGACGAAGTCTTCAATGGTCGTCTCGGGGCTCAGTGTGCTGTCTGACATCAACATCTTGTAGTAGGAGACGCACGCATCCTTCGGGTTTCGTGCGACGTAGATAACCTGGAGAAAGACGGAGGATGGTGTTACCGTTGTCAATCCCACTTTCTGGCTGGCAGCGGGTGTCATTACTGCATTTACTCGATGACGGGCGGTATCGAATGATCACTGCTCCCTCCCGTGGTGCTTCCGATATTGAATGGTCACTGCTCCCTCTCATGATGCCTCCGATAGTGAATGATCACTGCTCCCTCCCGTGGTGCTTCCGATATTGAATGATCACTGCTCCCTCCCATGATGCCTCCGATATTGAATGATCACTGCTCCCTCCCATGATGCCTTCGATATTGAATGATCACTGCTCCCTCCCGTGATGCTTCCGATATTGAATGATCACTGCTCCCTCTCATGATGCCTCCGATATTGAATGATCACTGCTCCCTCCCGTGATGCTTCCGATATTGAATGGTCACTGCTCTCTCCCATAATGTTTCCGATATTGAATGGTCACTGCTCCCTCCCATAATGCTTTCGATATTGAATGGGCACTGCTCTCTACCAGATCATTTGCCGGCCCTGGTGACGGCCTCCCGGAGCGCGCACGAAATCACGTGGATTCCATTATGACAGTGAGACTCGGAGACGAGTGGCTACCTTTGGAACCGGTCACTGACGTGAAACTTAAAATGCGCAAATAAATACATACTTGACATACGTACGTAAAAACGAGCCTTTCAAAACTAACTGAGCTTAGGTCAGTCGATTTAGAGGTGCACTAGCTGTGGATACGGGCCTCGTGAAAAAAGGCATCTGGATTATACCTGGCACCCGGGATCGTGCGTAGCAGGCAACTGAGTTATTAAGGAGACTGCAGGCAGCAAGTTGTAAATTTTGAAAGCTACTGCAATTACATGGGCCATAGTTGCGTGCTTCGTGATGACTTCCGTAATCTTGAGCAGAAATAAGGAAACCATGTGCGTTCAAAATATGTTATTTCCTTTTGTGACTTCAAAGAAACTTAGGAAAATGGCTCTGAATGGTTGATGAGTAGGACGGACTGAGAACGCATCGTGGGTGGGCTTGGCCAGGCCCCTCTCAGTCTGGGCGGGTCGAGTAAGGCGAAAACCCTGTCCGTGAAAACCTCTACGGTATCGGTGGCCATGCTTTACCCACATGGCCAGCCTACTCGTCCACATCCACATCTTGTACACGTGCACGAGACCACTCGTCTGCATCTTGCACACATGGACCAGGCTACCCGTCCACATCTTGTACACGTGGACCAGACTACTCGTCCACATCTTGTACACGTGGGCCAGACTACTCGTCCACATCTTGCACGCTTAGGCCAGACCGCTGGCCCACATCTTGTACACGTGCACAAGACAACTCGTCAGCATCTTGCACACATGTGCCAGGCTACTCGTCCACATTTTGTACACGTGGACCAGACACCGCGCCCGCATCATGCACGTGCTGCCGAAGACTGCACAGTGCACACGAGCACCTTGCACTATAAACCTTGAGGCACTTGGCATGATTGGCCGTACTTTGCACGCGCGATTGTACCTCACCCAATGCCTCGCGGGCGTGGCCATCGCGTGCATGCGCTGCTGGAGTGGCCGGCCGTACCTTGCACGTGTCGAGCAGGCCGGGCGGGCAGAGGCTGAGCGGCAGGTGGGTGTTCACGAGCCGAGGGCGCGGCCTGCCGTCGATCGGCTGCAGCAGCCGGCGGCACACGGCATCGCTGCCCTGCTGCTGCGCCGCCTGCCGCCAGCCGGGCGACATTATTGCGGCGGCATCCAGGAAGTGCGTCCGGTCCGGCGCCAGGTACGACTGCGCCCCGGCGAAGTCGCAGTCGTGCTGGATCAGCCAGGCCATCTCCGCCGTCCAGTGGGTGCCTGCCGGCGCGGCAGCCGGCTGTGTTAGGCTGGGATGTGTTTTGCTGCTTGGAGGGGGGGGGGGGGAGAGGGGGCAGGAAGGTAACTTATTACCGACAAATTTTTGCAACGCTTTACTAAAATGACTTGCTTTTGTACTCCATATTGGTTGGTTAAACTTTACCATATTTTCAGAATTTTCCCTCAAGTGTGCACTTTTTTGGTCAGCAGGAGTGTTGCCAGGTCTGCGAGGGTGCTGGAAATGCCCTTTGTTGTCCTTTTCTTGCCCATTCCCGGCTATTTTCACTCATATGGTAGCATTCTCATCAGCTGCTAGGTTGTCCATTCGAAGGCCGCTCATGCCCTGGGAAATGGTGAAGGCTACATGTGTGACTCCTCACCGCAGTCCGCCCTTATCGCTGTCTGAATGTGCGCCGTTGTTTTCCAGTAGTAGGAGCTTTGGCTTACATTTAAGTTAACATTTTCGTTTCTCCAATCTGCTCAACTCCGTGCACATTTCTCAAAAACATTGTTGGATGCTGCACTTAAGAAATGAATCGAAATTAGCCCCAAGGTCGTGGTGAAGTTCACATGACGGTTGGCCAATTTATTTAGGCCATTTTCCACCGGCCTACTTGAGGTGATTTCCTCTGTCTCGCTCAGAAATTTAACAAAAGCCGAGGCGTGAAATTCAGTGTTTCCTTAACGTCAAAATGTTGTTGTTGAATCGCTCAGCCGCCACCGGGGAGTGTTTTAAAGGCATCGCGGGGCTTTTCCATAACAATTGAATTAGTCTCAGAAACAGATAGGTCAGGGTGGTAAAAGTCCGATGGTAGAAGCAACTTTCTGGAAATGGTCGATGATGTTATGTAACTGCTATAGTGATAATGAAGTCAGTAGTGCGTATTTTGGCATCACACAACAGCCTCGATGCTCATTTTCTTTGGACAGGCATTGAGAACTGCCTACGTCCTAACCCGAATAATTACCAAGATAGCGGATTTGGGGATTAGAGGTATAGGTATAACAGCGTTTTGACTTAGTGCAGCTGGAATAAACGCATGCGGCTTCATTCTATTGGGGCAAGACACCCATACCGAGTAACCGTAACCCATACAATCCTTTTGCCTAAAACGACGAAACGCGCACGCGCAATGCGTCTCGCCCAAAGATTTTGCGGCCAACAGCTGCGAACGCAACGCTTCACAGATTGAGTAAGAAATATACCATTTCAGTCAAAGGCATCCAGATGTTTGCTTGGTTATAATAGACCGCACAATGGTGTACCGGATTTAGTACGAAGTCACGCATAAATTTCGTGAAGGGGTCTCACACCACAAAAAAGTTAAAAACAGTCAGAATTGGACGTAGACAGGTGTAAATTTTAGATGGCACGAGACCCACAAAATACCACAACACAAGTAGAGCAATGAAAATTGAGCCTTTTATGAACGACGAACGAGAAACGCCACCTCGAAAATGAAGAAATGCCCTGGCGCACGAGAAATCATCACCCCTTTTTGGGATGGGGTATGATCGTTATGGGCCTTAGACTTTGCTTTTTCTGGGCTTCATGATGTTTGGTGTTATAGGGCGCGCCGACAAAGTTGAAGTGAGAAGGAAGAGTGCTGGTTAGTGGGAGCGGCGAGACTGAGGCCAGTGTACGGCTCGTGTTAGAGACGAGCCTGGTGGCGGTGATTGGGACACTGTTCGGGGGGGGGGAGGGGGGCACGCCCTTGGTCCCCCCCCCCCCGGCGACACCTCTGGTTCGGAGCAAAATTGTGCTCGATATCACGATTGATTGAAATGTTGCAATATTAAAGCAATAACTTGAAAGGTAACTCCGGCATAACGGGCAACAGCCGCGTGCAACTCCGAGACCACGCGGGCGTGCGGACAGCGGAAGCGAGAGGCGGTCGGGTGCAGCCGGCAGGCGGGTGCGCGGGCGTCTCCGTTAGCATCACGCGTCGGCGCAGAACGCTCGCACCGCCCCGTGTGTGGGAGCTCCGACTAGCCTCGGCCTCGGCCGGGACACCCTGGTCTGGCCGACGCAGCATCGCGGCTTTGTGTAATCGGTCCGTGGCCCGGTGGCGTGGGCCGGAAAATGGCTGCGCTTCGGCGAAATGCTGTCACAGGGCGTGCTCTGTCCTACATCGGCTGTCGTCGTCTAGAGTGGCGTGTTTATCGGAGACGAGCGCGCGAGATAACCGGAGCGCGGGCCTGATTGTGGGAGCGAGCGGCAGTTGGCCACCCAGCGAACTGCCGCTCGCTGTTTTCATAAATTGCCCTAGAATCGCTCAGCCGCCACCGGGAGTGGTTTAAAGGCATGGCGTGGTTAACATTGCTTGACCAGCGAACAATGTGCGAGGTTCGCACGAGGTTTAGCCAGGCGACTGGTATGTGGTACGCGCCGGCTGGTATAGGAGCCTGGAGTAGAACACCACCAAGGCTTCCACGGTGTCTGGGCATCCCACGTCGGTTTCAGAAGTTCTGCCCGTTAGCACGGTACGTGTCCGTGGCGCTTACGGCAACAATGGCAAAGTACTCCAGTGGGAAGGAGGTATCTCGAAATCGGACGTTTTTTAGCAGGCAGACTAATTAAAATGCCGCCGTTTTCGCGCTGCCGCCAGCCTGCATAGGTGCCAGGCTGAGCGTCTGTAATCGGCCGTCAGCTGTGATCCTTGCTCGACCCTGAAAACACACAGCTTAAGAGCTTCACGTCGTGGTTGACGCACGCTGCGGCGGCTGCTTAGGCCCGACTGCGCCCGGGACCGGTCCCGGCCCGAGCCCGCCCCGCCCCCACTCACCGCACTTGGGCGACGCCAACACCCAGAGGTCGTCGGCGTGCAGCGGCGTGCGCCGACAGCGCTCCAGCACGGGCAGCGCGTCGGCGCTGTACACGGCACCGTCCGGTCCGAAGCGCGCCAGGCCGTGCTCGCGGTACGCCGGCAGCGCCGCGTACAGCAGCGCCTCGGAGCGCGGCAAGGGCTCCGGCTGCCACGGCAACGCCATCGCCTCCGTCGGCTGCGCGACAGACACTGACGTTCGCCGCCGCCGCCGCTGCCGGTTGTGTTGGCCGGGAATGCGCGAAGAGCGAGCGGAGCGGGGAACGATAGCCGGTCGACTCAAGGCCGTGTCCTGTGCGGTCAACAGAGGCGTACCTAAGGTGGGGCGTAGGATACCGTCGCCCCGCCGTGAGCGAAGGAGAGAGGAGAGGAGGAGAGAGATGAGAGGGAGAGAGGAGAGGAGATGAGGGAGAGAGAAGAGAGAGAGGAGAGGATGAGAGAGGAGGAGTGGAGAGAGAGAGAGAGAGGAGGAGGAGAGAGAGAGGAGAGAGAGAGAGAGAGGAGAGAGAGGAGAGAGGAGCTGAGAGAGAGAGAGAAGAGAGGAGAGAGAGAGGGAGAGCAGAGGAGAGGGGAGAGGGGAGGAGGAGAGGGAGAGGAGAGGGAGAGGGGAGAGGAGAGGGGAGAGGGAGAGGGAGAGGGAGAGGGAGAGGAGAGGAGAGGAGAGGGAGAGGGAAGGGAGAGGGAAGAGGTGAGAGGGAAGGGAGAGGGGAGGGGGGAGAGGGAGAGGGAGAGTGAAGAGGAGAGGGAGAGGAGAGGGAGAGGGAGAGGAGAGCGAGAGGGAGAGAGGAGAGGAGAGGGGAGAGGGGAGAGGAGAGGGAGAGGGAGAGGAGGGAGAGGGAGAGGGAGAGGGAGAGGGAGAGGGAGAGGGAGGGGGAGGAGGGAGAGGGAGAGGGAGAGGGAGAGGGAGAGGGAGAGGGAGAGGGAGAGGGAGAGGGAGCGGGAGAGGGAGAGGGAGAGGGAGAGGGGAGGGAGAGGGGAGAGGGACCTGAATGCCAATTACCGATCTGAGTTGCTACATACGTCGACCAACAGCTTTCAACCCACAAAGTGCGGTGTGTGGTAATAGTTAGATCGTGTGTATGAGTTCCCGTCGAAATGCAGATGACAGACATCATTTATTTTGACAGACAAATGACAGATGCCAGACATCATTTGATGACAGATGATAGACATAATTTATTGTCAAAACGTATCACAGATGGAATAGCTGTTCGGGCTCTCGTTCTCATTTGGTGTGTTAGTGCACACACAACCTTTCGGTCAGTTGACTCTCCCATCGTCATCACAACCCCAATGATATCCTTGGAATTGCTGGAACTCGAACCGAACCATTTTTCGTTGCGAGTCCAGCGCTTTACCAACCGTGCCAACCGAGAAGGACGTGTGCACTCCCATACACCAGAGGAGGATGGTAGTCCGGACAATAATGTCATGTGTGATACTAATGCCTCGTCTCAATCCCTCCGTAACACTGTCAAAACATGCTTGATAATATCACTCATCAAAATCCACAGCACAAACATGATAAACCATCAACATAAACATCTCTCAGTGTAACTGGAGGCTGCTGCTCCAAGATAAGACCGGTACCAAAAACAAATAACACGAACATTGGTAAACGATGTGAAATGGCATGGCGGCTCAACGTCTGCGCGCCTGTTATTTTTTCATGATTTCATTTGCTTCACGGCAAATGGTTTCGTCATTTTCCGTGAAGCACAGTGATCTCTCGCTTCGGTTGCGCAGCTAAGTCGGCACAGTTCATGGCTTTGTTCTCAGGCTCGCATTGCTCAACTGAGGTAGTTGCTGTGACGTCACAGGTGAGTACGTCACGCGCACAACGAAGAACCTTGTGTGCAAACACGAACAGCAAGAGAATGTCCCGATTCAGCCCTTTGGAGGCACACAGCGTCGTGGATGGACCTCCCGCTGCCAATGGAGATTGGGTCTCGGACCTTCCATTCGTTTGCGGTTGACAGCCGTGCTTATGTCCTAATTCCGCATGAGCACGAAACTGTTTCGCCCTGCACAGTAGTGCTACGCTGTTCATTGCTGCTGAACCTAGCTCCACTTCACAGCCGCCTGTACCGGCGGGATTTTCCCGGGACAGCGTCAGGGGGTGAGGACAGCACCCGCCCCCTGCCAGCACCCGTCACCGACCCCGCTGCACTGCATCACTGCGTCGGCGAGCCCGATGTTCCGCTCGTGATTGCGGCTGCCGCACCGGCCCACGTCTTGTGTCGACGCGCGGCTCCGGCCGCAGTGGCACGAGTGACAGCCACGGCGGCCGCCACGGCGACCGTCACGGCGACCGTCACGGCGACCGTCACGGCGACCGTCACGGCGACCGTCACGTCGGGGAGCGCGGCGGCCGACGGCGCACCGTCCTCTGCCGGCGGCGCCGTGTCCTCCTCCGGCGGCTCGGGCACCACCGGCTGGATGCTGCAGCGGCCCTCGGCGATCCACCACTGGCCGATGTCGGCGTAGTACTGCGGCGCGTGCGGCTCGTGCAGGTAGCGGCACAGCTCGCACCAGCCGGCCGAGCCGGCCACGTGGAAGTGTTCGCGCCAGCGGAAGAGCTCGCGGTAGGCAGTGCTGTTGGAGATCAGGTAGTTGAGGTGCTCGGCCAGCTGCTGCGGCCCGGCGAAGTCGTCGATGTGCAGGAAGGAGCCGGGCGGCGCCACACGCTCGTAGTTGGCGCGGCTCGGGCCCAGCACCACGGGCACCATGCCGTACTGCAGCGCCAGCGCCAGCTTCTCCGTCACGTAGTCGCTGCACTGCGCGTTCTCGAAGGACAGGTAGAAGTAGTAGTGCTGGGCCACGAGCCTGTAGCACTCCTCACGGTTCTGGTGCGCCCCGGTGGGGCAGCGGTTGGGCCCACACGCGCCGTATATGTCCACCGGAAGGAACTCCTCCAGCAGGTCGACGTACAGCTCTCGGCCGCTGGTCGTGTCGCAGTGTGAGACGAGCCAGGCGACCGCGCGCGAGCGCGTCTCGAGCGGCGGCAGCGGCGTCCGCTCCGGGCCCGGCAGCAGCTGGTAGTAGCCGTTGACCACGTCCGAGTCGAGCCGGTACGTCATGGTCAAGTTGAAGACGTCGCGGTACGGCGCGTACGGGAGGTAGCTCAGGGTTGGCGGCTCCTTGAGGAAGAAGACGAAGCGCTGGTGCGGCGGCCGCGGCCTGGGCAGCGGGTCGACGGGGTTGAGCATGTGGACGACGACGGCGTCGGCGCGTGACGACAGCGACCGGTTGTTGGTCGTGATGCAATTGCTGTAGGGGCAGCCGCGGAATGGCTTGTCGCCAAAGCCCACATAGAAGTCGGCGGCGTCGTAGAACGTGTTCCAGTAGAGGACGGTACGTGGCGCGCGCGTCCGCGGGGGATGCTCCCCTCGCGCCGGTCCGGGCCGAGCCTGACCACCTGCACGGACCGACGCACCGGCGCACCGGCCGGTCCGGCCCAGCCGGCGTCGGGGTCGGCCGGTCGAGACGGGCCGGCGGCCGGCGCCAGCCACTGGTCCCGGCTCCACACGACGAGCACGGTCAGCAGCGCCCCCAGGCTGAACCCCAGCAGAAGCCGCGCCGGTCGCACCAGCCGCGGCCGCCCAACCATCCTGGAACGGCACACACGCACGGACGTTGTTACGGACGTCACCGGCAAGGCCACGCCAACGCAGTGGTAGTTATCGTGATATCACATGTTTGTTTAAACATCAGCAACCCGATGCTGTTCGACGTTGAGCACGTCTGACACGTCCGTCACTATGTTCGATGACAATCCAGACGGCGCCGGGTGGTCGGACCGCTGCCGCTGCCACCCCGACCGGCCGCGGCCACTGATCCAAGTGCGCAACGCCCGCGCGCGGCGCGTGCAAGCTGTAGCCGGGGGGTGCATGCTTGGAAAGCGAACTGCAGAGCAGGTCCTGGTACGGCGACGGACAGGTTTACTGCATTCCTGGTGACGCGTGCCCCGTATGTATCACCAGTAATGCAGCCGACGAGATTGATCGTCACCTGCAGCGCCTCACGCAGTGGCCAGGTCAGTTGAGGCGTCTCGCCAGCTGCCGCGGCCGCCTCGCAGCGCAGCACCGCCCGCCCGCCACAGACGCGCCGAAAAT